TATATACACATCTCCACAGAATTTTAGTTCCTTAAATAATCTACAATAAACACAGTAACATGGGATCATTTCGCAGATGCTGTATGACAGTTCCTACAATCTGGGATGAAGAGGAGCAATACCAGTAAGCAGTGATGTAGGTCCCGTGAGATGGTGTGACGGCACCTGTAACACTACTTGCAGTCATTTCACCTGGAATGTTATTGAAACACCACAGTGCTGCCGGGCATGTGTGCTAAACTTCATTTGCTCTCTTTCAGACAAAACCTGAGTCTCGTTTGCCACTGAAGCTCCTTCCCTCTCACCCCAGCCCGCCCTGCAACCAGCAGGATCTGCCTCATCCTGCTCTGTCTTCAGCTTTGCTCCCGCTAGCCCATGCCAGGAACTGGGGCAGCTGCAGCAGTCACAAGGAGTGATACAAACCTAAGAAACCTTCCAGCCCCCAACCCCTTTTTTCATGGAAAGTAACTTGACTTTTGGCATTTATTTTTGTTCGTGGGAAAGCAAACTTGAATGATAATTGCACACAAATACTTCCTGTCAAGCGAGACAAGAGAAATCTCACTGAAGCAGTGCAGGAGGTGGCACGATCTTCCCTACTTTTTTTTTTTTCCTTCTTTCTCTGCTTTCCAGTGTATCAAGCAGAAGCTACAGCTCACCAGAATGGCACTTCTGTTTCAGCCACCTCCTTTCTCCCCAAGCCTCCCTGCCAAGTTCCTTGGAGGGCAGCTGCACACTTCCTTCTCCCCTGCATCTGTCTTAGTCTTGTCCCAAGTTCACTCCTACCAGCAATCTTTGCCCCCTCCCCTGTGTTGTTAACATTTCCTATTGATTACTTTTAAAAGCTGCCTGCTTCTCCATTGCCTAGTACATGCAACTAATCTGAGTGTCTTGCTGCAGGGGTTAAAAACCAGCCAGAAGTTTGAAATCTTGTAAGTAAATTAAAATTAGGGGGAGAGAAGGACAATTACTAGTTTACTCTATGGAGCTGGACAGCTTTCAGATGCATGGGGAAAAATATGTATGGGTTTGAGAGAGAAGATGAACATTTTTAGTAAGAATACATTTTTTTATTCACTAACAAAGATACTGGTGCTGATGCAACCCCTCCTTGCCGTACTGGTAAGGAAACTTCTAGGAACAATACTGAGTTTAACTGCAGAAATCTGGACGTCTGCTTCAGTATTAGGTACATCAGTTTTGGTACAACTCCAGTGAAAAAACAACTTAAAATATGTTAAAAAAATAAAGGCAACTGATTTTAATCATGGGATACTAAACAATCAGCATCCTGCATGATCGTACATATTTTTATACAACTATGAATACTTTTATGCATCTAGAATTCTGCTTTTTGGTAATTTTCTCACTTGTCTGCTTTTTTGTCCATTTATGACTTCAGGCCTTCAACAAAAAGCCACAAGTTTTGCAATAACTATACCATTTTGTTTCTGGTCTTTCTAACTCCTTTCTGGTGAGGCAGCCTGTTTTCTTTATGCTTTTTTTACATGAACTAATGCTCAGGAAATTCTCATATGATGTCCATCTCAGGGGAAGGGGCATCTCTGTTTATCTACAGGATGGAAATTGTTTAGCCTTTGTGGTTTCTGAAAGATGTTTGTAGACAAAATGGAGCTCAAAATACAGCCTAATCCACAGTGAAATATTAGTTCTCCTTTCCTGTCAGCTTTCCTAAACCAAGATTTCGCCTCGTCTGTGAACATTCCCTTGAAGAGGGCAGCTTGGATGGCTTCCATGTCCTAACTCTTTGATTTGTGGCAGCTAAGATCAAGTGGGAATAGAGCTTGTTACAGTAATCCATCAGTGGTATAACACATGCAGGAACATCCCAAGGAGGGAGACCTTGGGCGTCATGGGGAAGGTTAAGGCTATAATTTCTCTTAATGTGATTCTGTCTGGCCTTTTCAGAATTTTGTCCGCTTTGGGCAGGGCCACTAGATCAGCAAACCACAGACCGAAAGACTGTGCTCAATTTTGTACGCTCTTAGACCTAAAAATTTTTTAGACGTAACAGCATTAGGTTAAGCTTTCTTCCACTTTCTGAGCCCGAAGAAGAGAAATAGAAGATTCACTTGAGAGTACACCATACATGGTGGTGTGGATTTTGGAAAACAAGGGCTCTTCTCTTTTACAGTAATTTTCATTTTAGCGATTAACTTTGTCCCAATCTCAAAAAAAGTGGAATAAATTCTTAACAAAGAGAAGAAACTGGAAATGACAAACCAATATACCTAAATGTTAAGAGAAGAATCACTACAAGGAAAAAACCCCAACATTTTAAATAATTAAAACCTTCCAAACATGAGAAATCAACCTCAGTGAAGACAATAAAACGGTGCCTAAACACAGGCTGTACAAGAGGAAAATTAGCAGAACAGAGATAGAATCCAAAGAGCAAATATCTAAGCCACAAATTCCTTTATGGTATCCAAAAAAATGAAAATATGTAGGAGGTCCTGGGGATGAAAGAAACTGAGGAAGACAAAAGTTAGGGAAGGGAAGCAAGATGACTTCTTTTCATCCAACTTCACCACAGAGGATGTTGGGGAGAAACCTATCCTGGGACGTGCTTTTATTTCTCTGTATTTTATTTTTTAATAGACATGAACTAATAGCAAGGTTCAAATACCTGCTAACAGAAGCAAATGTGTCGGAGGAGGATGATACCTTATAAAGCAGTAGACTTGTAGAAGACAAGAATTCTGACATCAACTAAAATAAAGAAATTGAGCCACCGGCTAAAATGAGTATGCTTTCACTACATTTAGTAACTTAAATAAATCAGAAGCTAGCAAAAGCTTCACCTATCTTTACAAAAGCAGCAAAGTAGATTCAGGGGACTATAGAGCTCCAGGCTTTATTACAATACCTGGTAACCTGGCTGAAAGGATGAATAACAGGAAACTAAATACATTGAAATAATCACTAGATTCTGAATATGTTTACAAAATAGTGGACAGATAAGAGCAAGTAAAGTAAATTAGACTTTCAACATCTTTACAAGAGCCTCAAAGGAGGCCACCTATGAAGTGTGAGGTTAAGAGAGGGAAAGAAAAGAAGGTTGGGGAAGAAGAGGGGGAAGAAGAGAGGGAAAGAAAAGAAGATATTGATTCTCATCTGATGACAGGGTTAACAGCAGGTATCTCATGGTTTTGACTTTGTATTTCAAAATTACCTGGAAACATGGAAGCACATCGAGAGGGTAAAATCTACAGATGGCAAGAAATTATTCAGATTAGTCCCGATTTAAGATTTAGGGGTTTGAGAGATAAGCAGTAAATCTGCTTCAGCAGATCATGGTCATTACTGTAGATCGCAATGAAGTGCACGCTGCAGGCAGTATCGGGCTCCTTCGTGCATCGGCCTGAATTCTGAATGGTCCAATCAGCTCAGGAGGCTGCCTGGATGTCCTTGTGAACTGCCCAAGGACAACTGGTGTCCAAAGGATAGCAACAGTCAAAAAAACACAAAGAAAACCTCAGGACATCTAACAAAAGATAGCACAAGCACAACAGACAAACATATAACATTTATAAGGAGAGGCTGTAATACTGTGCTTGCTATTGTTTAACCCATTCTTAGAGGTAAGATGGAGAAAAAGAGTGGAAATGGTCTCAAAAAAAAAAAAGATGTAGAGGATTATTTGGATTATTTGAGACGAACATGGATCTGAGCAGCCTGGTCTAATTTGGTCTTGCACTGAAAAGGAAGATGGACCAGATGGCTTTAAGAGGTACTTACCAACCTAAGTTATTCTACGAAATAGAGAGATTAAAAGAAGTTTTGACTGTTCAATACATTCAGAAAGTAAATCCTGAAATTGGCAAATTCAACAGCAGACAAAATTAGATTATGAATTTATTGTTACAAGTACTGTGCTAGGAGCCAAAATAAGATTTAATTTTTGCAGTTTTTTAAAAATTGTATTACTCACAGGGTTCCCCCCTCCCCAAAATATCCAGACAAGGTGGCTTTTGGAAAAGAAATCATTTCTCTGTTTGATGCATATAATGAGTATTATGGCTCACGAAATAAAGTTTTTCTAGCAGAGCTCTTCCTCCTCCTTCAAAGCTTCTTGCGCTCTCCTCTCAAGCAGCTGGTACTGGCCACTGTCTGAATCCCGACACCGGACTAGATGGATGCTAGTACTACCTCCTGTAATTACTTCCATTTTCACATGAGACATGACTCCAAACCAGAATTTTCATTTTTGCTACCTCCTGATGATATTCTGTCATGTGTACTCCATTAATCAAGTAATGTGCTGGTTTTTAAGGGTCACCCATGAAATCTCACACTCTGAGAGCTCCAAGAGTGAGGTTACAGTCTTTCTGTCATGCCTGCTTGCAGCAGTAATAAATAAACTGCACGACAAATTGAGCCATTGACCAGACTTATGCGTTAGCCATGGGATTACCACGTTTTTAAAAAAGATGCTGCCACAAGTTTCCTTTATTTCTATTTATCTTTTCTAACTCCTTATCAACAAAATTATTGTCAGGAGCAGGACAGAAAAGGAATCAAAATATTTCACAGACGCTATCATTCCGGAAACAATTTTATTACCAAAAAAGTTAGTTCCTTCCCTTGCCCTTAAAACATAATGAAGCATCTGCCTTAAAAAAAGAGATTCCCCCAAACCACAGAATAAATATATTTGAAGATAATGGTCAAATAAAGTTTTAACCTGAAAATAGTTCCTAATAGTTATATACATTAATAGTGTATATAACATTAAAATGGTTATAATAACATGGCTGCCTATTAGTGCATTGATGAGGAAACCACCTGACAGACAGAGAGAAAGCTCAGAAGAAAGGGTACTGGCATCTTTGAAATTCAGTGGGAATGACACAATGAATCTACAGTCATAAAAAGTACTGTGGCCAGGGAAGAACAGAATTAAAAAATAAAATCTTAAACAATTCGCTTTAAAGAGGGTTTTTAAAAACCGACATAGATTTACCCACTAGACATACCTTGGCTGACCTAGTGATGGCCCCGATCTCTGAATAAAGATCAGTGCTGTCTGGGAACTTCTCCACCACCATAGTGCAGACGTGGTGCAGGAGGGATTGCTTGTGCACTGTGTCCTTGACTTCTGGAACCTTCTCGAGGTAGCTCAACTCAAAAGCTTTGGCCTGTAAGAGGGGAAAAAGGTGAAGAAATTAAAAATAAAAATGTTCTCTTCTTCCTGTGCAGATTAGACAAAAACGGTTACCAAGTAGGGGCAGAGGGGAAAGAAGAACAATAATCCTACAGAAGAAGAAACTTACTGCTTATATTTATTTTTAACTTGCTGAAGCGTAGGCCTAAAATCAGTGCATCTGCAGTGAAACGACTCATGACACAGTTCTCACAATATGAATGGGGAGCATCAACACTAAACTCAAGGGAGTTACACCAGAAGAGTGCCTAGCTCCACATTCCCTTCAGGTTATGCTGAAAGAGGCAAAGGGCACCCTGACACACAATAAAAATAAAAAGTAGCTTCTGTTTTCTAAGTCATTTTTCTAGTACAAAATGAATACTGTCATAATGGTTTTGATTTCTGTTTTTTTGAAAGAAAAAGCTGCAGGGGAAATGATGGGACATCAGGCTTACGTTGGTTCCATTCAGAAAGTTCCCAATGGCTAGTAGAGTAGAAAGGATAAATCCCAAAGTTTTGTTGTGCTCCAGTTGGTCCATTCCTTCCTTCAGGTCTAGAAGTGGTTCTGCAACTTCCTGCCATGAGAATACAAACAAGAAAGTGAAGGCTGCAGTTGGCTATAGCTGCTTTAAGTTTTAATTCTATGGTTTAGATTAATTACTGCAAAAATTCCCTGAACTGGCGTCTTGCAGAGTGCAAACTGGCCATGTGTGCTGTCTTTCTTCCATGTTCCAGTGAATAAATCACATGCAAGAACAGCAAAAAAATACATAAAATACTTTCCTAATGTTGCTGCTTCATGTATGCAATTGCCTTACTTGTCCTGGGGATTATGCTGTGATTCCAAACAGGAGAGAGAATCAGAGAAGGGGCTGCTGCATTTGAGTTAGATGCATGAACATCCCCCTGCCCCAACTGATAAAAAAGCTTCTTATAACTCTTTTTTCTAATCTTTGAAAAACAAAAAAAAAAAGTTAGAACCCTGGCTGACTTGACATTTGTAGCCTGACCCTAAAGCTTTCTTCAAATGATCTTTTAGACATGTGACTTTAAAACTGAAAAAACCCAATCCAGTGTAAACATCAAGCTTTACAAGTGTTCTCATTTTAATCTTTTAACTTAATGCATCTTCCATCCACACATGTTATCCAAGTATAGGTATGTAAACTGATAAGGCTTGGAAACATAAATTCTGTTCCATTACCTCAGGAAGTGAACTACACCAGAGAGTTCAAAGGAAGAGAGTGAGGGTAATTGAGTTGACGGAGCTTATTTCTGTGTCTTTGTGTGAGGCCCAGGGTTATTTATTTTGTATGCACAGTAACAGTTCACATTGTTTCTATCTCCAAATGTCATCCTAAGCACCCGTGAGCAGCATTCTTTTCCCAAATTATTACACTCTTTATAAGCCAAGGAGACAAAATTAAGCTGCTATTTTAGACCAAGTGGCAAAATAGCGAAGAACTTTGCTTTCTTGGAGAAATACAATGGGTCATTCAATGATTGTAGTGATATTTTACCATAAATAACAGCATGAAGATGAAGGAAACATACTTTTCTAGTCACTACAGAACAATCCATCTTTTGGAAAGAAAAGAATATGGCAAATTTGAGACAAATTAAGAGATGACATAGTGAGCAAAGTAATTTATACATCAGAGGAGAGGTGCTAAGTAATCCAAGACTTTGTGAAGTTAAACTAAAATCAGTGAACTGTTACATAGAATTCTTTGATTTGCTTTAAAGTCAGGGTTGATTTAGTTTGTTTTGTGGCATTATGGGGATGAATCAAACCGCTCTGCATCTGCTCTAAACAGAGGCTTTTGCTTGTATCAAATTGCAACCTGTTAAAAAATCATTCCTAAAACATTAATTTAAAACATTCTGAAGGTGAATAAAAAGGTAACATAAAAGCAGGCCATACTGTAGCCCTTCATTTAGCTATTCACATGCAAGTTATCCAATTTTAGACTTTCTTGCATATAGTACACTCTTTATTTTTTATTTTATTGTAGTATTAAAAAACAATAAAAACCAGTGTGCTAGATACTGTATAATCAGGCAAAATACCCATTCTTGCTTCCTATAAAACTCACCTTCTGCCTAAAGAGGGCAGATACATAATGCAGAGTTACCTCATATCCTTAGGTACCACATAGCCTTATTTATCATGTTTCTATTTCTCCACCTAAAAATTATGCTTGAATGAAACTTGAGGATTGGCCCAGAATTTCTGGCTGTGAGACATCTGATAACGCCTGGTAAATGTTTGACGCCCAAGCACAAATGAACTCAACTATATGTGCGCAATGAATCCAACGGTCCTGGGACAGGGAGGTCGCAGCACACATGTACTGTACGGCTGATCTGGCACATGCATTGTTACCAACCTGCTATACTGGTATTAAGCTTACCTTTCTGCGCCTATACACGTTCACGTGCGTGCTTTTCTGGGAGGGGTAGAAACTTGGTTGGGATGGGAACTTTGACATGAACAAAATGTAATTTGCCATGTTTGCATTTAATCAAGACTGGTCTGTATAAAGTATCATTTAAAAGAACAGAAAGTATCAGGGTCATGCCGTAAAACTTAAAAAGCTCTGATGCACTTTTTAAAATTTTCAGACAGTTTAAGCATCACTCAAAAGCACAATCTTTTTGATCACTTATTTCTCTAGCACACTGTCTCCAGGGAGCCTACAGTCACGAGAAATCTTTCTGCTCAGAAGAGGAACTGAAGCAAGCCCTTTTCTTTACCATTTCTACTTTTCTCATTTCTACACCTGCTTATATTAGTTTACAGTTGTCAGTAATAAGGATATATTTGCCCACAGTGATCTTAAGAAAAAAAAAAATCTGATTTAGGACAACTAAAGATTCTATTCCTCTTTCTAAGACCTTTAAACTCCCTTTCAGATAATGAAATTTGACAGCATCTGCATAATACATAGTTCAGCACAAAGAACTTAACACAGTGCAATTTTTCAGAGCGATCAAAAGTCTGAAAAGGAAGATTTAAAATAGAAACTCTACCTCTTTTGTCTTTGCCTTTAAAATATGATACCAAAAGAAAGGTGAGAAAAATTATTGTTCCACTGGTGACCTTCAGTAAGCATACGGTACCTTAGATACACATTTCAAACAGTATACATATTATCAAACAGATCATTTAGAAAGGGTTTTCCTTTCTTATTTTCTCTGAAGAGCAAAGAATGAGTATTCATTCATCCAGTTCAGCCCCTCACAGGCTGAGCCTTCTCCCTACAAATGTATTCTGACTTGTTTCAGTTAATTAAATTCAATCCAAGAAAGATGACTTTCTTTATTATGCCTGGAAAGCTTTTCTACAAACATGATCAATATCTCACTTAACTCTTTTCTTGAACAATTTCATGCTATTTTTCTTTCAGGTTGTCAGAGACGGAGCTGAGACGTACTTAGGCAAAATTCTGTTCTCAGCTCATTAGCAGAAGAGTCTCATGAACGAGAACCTCAGCCTCACATCAACAACTCGGGTATTTCACACTGTTGATATCATGAACCATCTAAAACTTCCAGCCTCATGGAAATAATAGTAAGGGTCATTCATTTCTTACATAAAATACATGTGTGACTTGATAAATAACATGAGCACATTCTGAACTGTCATGAATTTTCCTAATTTTAAAATAGATTTAAAAAAACCCATGCAAATGCTGGACAAAAAAAAGGACAAAAACTGTGGAGGCAAGTGATTTGCTACCTAAGTTTCATGAAGGGTTTGCCCACTTGCAGATACATCTTCTGCAAAACATAGTTTCAAGAACAGAAAAATGTTATTAGGTCATGGGACACTTTTATTATCATAATCATTAATGCAAACGACTTCATTTTTAAATTAATATGCTCATGGTATCTTATTTCAGTCTAAATAACGCTTATGTTTATTGGTTACCTGGAACTTAAACTCTGACCTTAACCTTTTGTTACCAGAGAGACCCAAATACTCGCTCTTTTACCTCTGATGTCTGATCCTGTATCTTCCTCTTCACCCAAGTAAGACCCAAGCTGTCTGTCAGATCTATACTTGTCTGCTAGGCTTCTTATCACATGCTCCTCTTATTTTATCAGAGTTATCATGTGTTATTTCCTGTACTATTTTACAGTAGGTACTGTACTTAGGCCTACCAGCCTTTCAACACGGATAAAAATGTTGGTTCTATCTTCACTCCAGCTATTGCTTCTTTGAGTAATTTAGGTTTCTGAGACATTTTATACTAGCATCCATTCTGGATGGATTTTAGCTGGCAATTCATTAATTTTGTGGCATAAATATTAGAGCAATAGGAAAACTATCAGAATTTCTTTAGCTTTTAGCAGCGCTTCAAATGTTACTTTTTTGATTGAGAGGAAGCTAGGAATTCCAGGTGTACACATAGATTAACAGCTACAGCTAACTCGGTTTACATGAAAGGACCAATTTAGCTTTGTGGTAACTTCAAAGCAGAATAAATAGCCGTAGCAAAGTAAAAAAACCCAAGAAAACAACAAAAAACCCACAAAAAAATGGCAAAAAAAGTATTCAAGCCGGATTCAAGTATTTTATGTCTTACAAGTCAGAAATGTAAATGTCTAAGACTAAAATGTCACAATTAAAAAATCTTGAACATCACTGTGATTGCATTTCCTAAAATCCATGAAAATTAAGCAGAGGTTGAGTAATCTTGACAGTATCATCTGCAAGTCAATCCACTGTTGTATAACTTGTTAAATAACTACGGCTGGGAACACATAAGGCATTTTCAGAAGCACGTCCCACTTCTCAGAATCCGTATAACGCGAATTTATACTGATTTTTAAATATACACATATGCGCATAGATACACAATTAACATATACAGGAGAGAGCTGCCAGAAGAGCAATGCATAGAGTACACACCAGAAGTGCAGCCAGGAGAAGGTTCCTGTGCTGATATTCCTGAAAGAGCTTGTGAAAGTCAACAAGTAGCTGAAATAGCCTACACAGTTTCATTCTGTTTCACTTGTGCACTGAAATGATATGCTGTCATTTTGAATTTTTTGTCTGTGATTCATCATTCATGACAGGCAACCCAGTTATAGTGTTCTCTGAACAAATGCCATCCGTGAAGAAGGTGGCAACAACTGAACTGAACAGAACACCCATGAAGGATACCTTATCTTTTGTTTATAACTTTGAAAGAGAGTTATAAACAGAAAAAACTTTAATGGTTTAGTGTTTTCGTTAGTTCAAATGGATGTAAGATCAATACTCTCATTTTACAATGTAAGGCTGAATACTGCAGTCCTCATTCAATCTTTATCCAAAGAAAAATTCATACTGCTCTGAAGTAAGAATTTCCTGAATAACATCTGGAGACGATGCGGTAAGGATTTAGCCCTCTTCTTTGTTTCAATATTGTTACTGTCTAATTAAAGGAAGGAAGACATAATCTCTAACTTTCTTTTGTAGAAGTAACAGATTATGAAGGATCATTTTAGCTGTTTCCTGGTTTGTCACCAAAACAAAAGCGACCCATTTACCATTTCCTCAAAATTTATGCTTATATAATAACAAGGTCAGGGAAAGATTAAAGCAAAGCCTCGGAAGAGTCTCCACCCCTGCCTCCCCGCTTTCCCCTCACCTTTTCCACTATCTCATAGTCCATCTTGAAAGCCCAGAGCTGAAGCCTGGCGGAGAGTTCGCTGATGGAGGAGAGGGTGAGAAGGAACTGCTCGGCGCTGCCCAGGGGGACATCGGGGTTCGCCAGCTGCGCCTCCTGGATCTTTTGCTTCTCCTCCTCAGTCGGGATCATGGTCAGGATTTTCTGTAAAGGGAGACAAAATGCAGGCATCAGTGGTGGGGGCAAGAGGCGTGCAAGGGTAGCATCAACAGTAGAAGTCTCTCAAGTCCTCTGGTAACCAAGAACTAACCCACTGCACAAGAAAGCAAAACAAGGCCTGCCATCTCAAACGTCTGCAGTTTGCTGAAAAACACATCAGTATTAAAATGCTTTCCTTTTTTTAAATTTGTGCTCAGTAGATATTGTTAACCATGGGATGAAACACTGAAGGAGACAGAGGGAGACTGGTTAGGACTGCTCTCCTCAGCTTTCCTATGTTTAAGTCAAAACTGGTCACCTTTCTGCAAGTTACATACAGACATGAAGGTAGGAGAAGTGTAATTTTGTGGCCTGTGATTTACAGCAGGTCCCTTTTAGCATCAATACCTATGAATCCTCCAGCATACTTGTAGGGATACAGAAATAACTTGAGGACTCCGGTCCCTTGCTGTTCTCATAATTCATTACTTTTTGTTCTGTCTGTTTTGTCTTTTATGAAACGTGACAAGTATTGCCGCTTATGAGGTCACTCCCAAAAATTTCACCCGAACTGAGGACAACTTCCCAAGGAAGACACATTGAATTTCAAGTTGAATTATGCACTGCATAACATACGGCGTTTTTCTCTCTTGATATGAAAAGTCTAAAGTACTGATGAAAAAGGATCTCAATATTTTCAGCTTCTGCTATCAGTACGGCTCAAATAATTTAAATTTTCCCTTTAATTCTTGGATTTTACATGCTTTTTCACGTGTGGCAGCTTTCCTTCTCAAAAGTGTTGCTCTCTAAGGTATTGCTTCTTAATTAGTTTTTAACATAATAAATGACTTTAAAATCAAAAATAAAAGCAAAACAACATAAAGGCATCAGATAAGTTGAGGTCTTTACCTTGTGGATCAATGCCTCATTAAAACAGTAGATTTGCAACACAACTTATGTTTATTCATCTGAGGAATGACATGTTTTCACTGTAGCCTTCTATAATGATAGAGGCTGTTTTGGAGGGGAGGAGAGAATAATAAAAATACAGCCAAAAAGCTATCTGGTCTGCCAATCCAAACTATAGCCCTGTTCCAGCACTGGACATAGCAATTCATCAAAGTAGCACAACTGCCCCCTTCCCGTACCAATAATTCATCTGGCTCCTTGTACAGCACTGGAGCTAAGCGTGGAGAGCAAGGGACTTTTCCTGGTCAATCAGGCAAAGAACAAGAGTTAAGCAAGCAAATAATGTTCAATTTGTTGAACTGGGACTTATTTAATTTCAGCCACAGCATTTGTATTGCTGTCCATCTCTTATGCTGACTTCCATAAACATAATTAAAGAAGCACTTTTTTTTCATTAATGTTGGCTCTGTCTTTCAGTTAAAACAAAAATTAAAAAGCCTCCTTGCTTGGACACTGCAAGCTTCTACCTTAATAAATGAATATCCTAAGGAAAAAAGAAGAGGAGAAAAATCCCTCAATACACTCTGGTGCTTTTTCTTCCCCTGTCAAAGACTGTTTGGAAAATATTCTGATGTACACCTGTTCCAATTGATAGCATTTGTGTATTGATTTTGAGGTGTGCTACCCATCCATCCACACATGCTGAAATCTGTAACTTAGATTATAAGTAACTTAGATTATATTTATAAGTAGTTGCTTCAGGGCATTTCTCAGAGCTTAATCAATACTTACCTAAAAAGGTTAATAAAAAAGAGAGACTGAGTCTGAAACTCATAAGAAAAGGGGTCCTTTGAAGAAGTCAGGCCTGCTAGTGCCTACTCCTCTCTTCCACAGCCACAAGAAGCCAACACCCCCTCAGCTGAGCCAGGCCAGCTTGCAAATAGGACCATATGAACATCCATACATGGAGAGTTTAGCAGTAGCCATGTGATGGATGTAAAAACGCTTCTGATGCATTTTTGATGGCTAACACTTCAGCAGTATTCTCAATTGCCGCCTACCAATAACTAGGACTTCTGGCTCCTACCCAGGGATCCCACAAGTATTTTATGGTGGTGCAGTGCCTTCACTCCACAGATTCTGCACTGCTTTGGGGCATTTTAAAGAGAGCAATGAAACAGTAAGCTTTATTTCCAAAGGGATTCTCCTCCTCCTTGAGCTTTATGTAAACAGCACAAGCCAGATGGAGCTGACAAAAAGCATTCAAGTCCAAGTACTGCAAGGCTGCTGTGCTGCATACCATAGTGTGTGAAACAGAGAATGCCAAGTGAAAGAGCCTGTACTTGTGGTGCCAGCTGCCGAGGATCAGCCCTGCTGCTGAAAGCCCTGCCTTGATGGGACCAGAGCTGCTGGCAGCTATCACACCACCCAGGGTGCAACTGCCCCCGTAACAACGACCTATTCGCTGGCGCTTCTAATCTGCTTGGGCAAATAATTCTGCTCCTGCTGGTCATCACCCTTGGTATGTCCCTGAGCAAGTGGTAAAATGCTCCTATTCTTCGTTTCCACTCTATGACTAATTTGAGCCATTTGTTCAGTGCTGGAAACCGATGAGTACATCATCTGCCTGTTTATTATTATTTTTATTTTTATTATTTTTTAAACACCACTGACAGTAAAAGTAGGATAAAAACAGGCAGAAGGTTACTGGCACTTGATGTGACCATTAAATCACAAATAGCTTTGAATCTCATCATTAGTTCATAACGCTCACTCCAGTACAGCATTCTTCAGGTCAATTAAAGAAGAATTGGTTATTAACAAGCCCTATGCTCATATCCTCTAACAGGTCTGATACATGTATTTCACCTCCATGCGCTCTCACACAACCATTTGGGCCAGAGACTAACATTCTGAGGAAAACCAGTGCACAAATCTTTTCGTGGAGAAAAAGAAGTAATTTTTGGAGATCCTGTTTGCATGAGCTAATGGATCCTAATTATTCTGCTCCTGGACTGCTGGACCCAGCCACTTGCTTGAACTTTCAGTGATGGGATCAAACTGCTTATTTCCTGGACTCAGCTATCCTGACGTATGATCTCCAAAAATTTCTAAGGGGAAAGCCTTACAAAGCTCACAGGGCAAAATTTATAAACCCCATATGCCTGAGGGTTATGGGCCTCAGTGTGGGCCACAAGGAAGCACCTGACCAGAGACTGCAAATAGCTCGGAGTCTCTGCAGGAATTAGGTGCTGAAGTTATCTCTTTCAGGACATAGCGGGGCTTCTCAGTGATGACGAGGTTGCAGGGGTGCCTTGGCTTTCGTATTTGGTTTCAGCTGATTTCACCAGGTGAACAGGAGCCTGAAAAATATTAGTGAACTAAGTATCTGGTTGTTGTTGGGTCTAAAGCTTTCTGTGGTTCGAGGCCCACAAATTCAAAAGCTGGATAACGAAATACACATTAGTGGGTATTTCACTGGATATTTGACAGGCCTCGGCAGACGATTCAGCTCCAAAGAGGCTCTCACACTTCAGCTTTCCAGGCAGGTATTAACGAGACACATCGATGTTTTGCATTACCTGCAGAAAGTCTAACAAAATATAAAAGCATAGAAAGGTCAGGACTCCACAGTCAGTGAGGCCACCTGCACTAATTTTATTTCAGCTCTTCCAAAAATGATACAATTCTGAGAAAGGACTACATCTAAAATGTCTGACAGCCATCCCTGAAAATCGGGAACAGACAGCTGTTGTTCAGACTGGTCCACTTCCTTGGCTCTCTGCTGAAATCCATGAACGTGCCATTGCTGGTCACAGAAACTGTAGAAGATGTTTTGGTTTGCTGCAAGGAGTGCAAGCGTAGCTTTTTTTCTTTAAGTAAAGTCTGAAACTCGTTAGGGCAGCAATATGCTGGCCGTGGGTGTATGGCCAGCAAGGCACCGTTGAGTCAGTTCTCTCTTCTGTCTAGACTTGTAAAAAGAGGTGTTCTTTCAGGTCACGTGAGCTACCGTAATTTGAAACATCCCATCTCACACTTTTACAAAGCATTAGCTAAACAAATTGGAAACTGCAAATGCCAATGTATCATGGCCAACTATCAGAACAAAAACTTAAAATACCTTGATTATTTCCGAAAACCAAATTTTGTTTCTTGTTTACACGTCACCATCTGCCTTTTTAACACCAGGCTCTCATTTCTTACCCCTTTTTTACATCTCAGAGCTACCTAGCCACTCCAGACACCTGAACTTCAAATTACTTAACAAATGTGGGTACGGAGGGTCTATCACACCTGCAGAGTTTTTTCATTTTGAATAGTTTTACTAAAAGCAATCCCTACCAATGCAAATATTGTGTACCATCACAAGGCTATATCATAAAGCACAAAGCAACCCACCTTAATTTCCTAACAGCATTACCCCAATTTTACTCTGTTAAATTAATCATATTCATTGGTATAATTTGATTTCAATCCACATTCCCTTACTGAGTAGCACAACACAGAGGGGCCCACTCATTGCCCTTACTAAAGACAAGCATCAAGGACTGGTTTGGTGGACTCCATTCTTGCAGTTGCCCATGATACACTTCATAAAAATTGGGTGCCAGGATTTTAAGCTTGCCTCTTTTGCTCATCTCACAGAAAGCCCTCATCCACGCTAAGCAGGCAGCTCTTTGTCTTGCAGCAAGCTCCAAGTTGTTTGAACACAATGAACGCCAAGCTTTCAAAGAAAGGAAAACACAACCACTTTGGCAAATATAAGGTGGCAAAATTTTTTTTAGTTGGATTGACGCATGCTTGCAGACACACACTGTGCATTCCTTTGAAAATACGTTTCTAACAGTGCCTGCTCTGCATGCTAAATTGACATCTGCCTTTCTAGCACCATGCTCCCATTTTCTGCCCTTTTTCACAGCTCAGGGGTACCCAACCACTTCAAACACATGGCCTAAGAACACACAACATACTTGTGTATAAAGGGCTTTAAAATACCTGGAGAATGGAGAATGCTTTTACATACTTGAAGTTAAAAAGCAAAGTATGAATTACAAACAAGAGTTAAATGTCACGCAAAGCAGCATTCAGCAGAATGTAGGACAGTAGCAAGGGATTTACTGGGTCACTATGAACCTGATGATGGGTTGGGCTATCACAAACTTGTCACCTGCATTGCACTGCACCACTGCCTTGTTGCTAGCACTACTGTCAGCACTACTTTAGTCCACTGTCCTTAAAGGAATTGCTACTATCCTTAAAGGAATCCCTAAAGTCAGTTTTAAGATACCATTTAATCTGAACTTATCCACCAAGGTGCAGAACTAAAGCCACACACACACTAACATGACAGTGACGACGCTCCTCAGCGAAGGACATAGCACAGAGCTCATAGCCAAGGCAAAGGGTGGCTCAGGTGATTTTTTTACACTGTTGGTGCCCTGCTCCATTTCGATCTGCTAAAAGCTAAAGATGATCCTGAATTATAGCTTCTCTGAAATTTCAGCAGTGAATGTTATGTCCTTACCGCACACATTACGTCTCTTCTCCTGCTCTCCTTACATCTCTCTATTCTGCTTACTAGCTGTGACATCTCTTCTGGACAACTGACTATGCAGAAAGGCTTTTGAGTACCCACTGTGATGTGGTTTTTTAATTAGACCAACTGCATAATTTTTTTTCCATACCAGTCCTGCCTCATTCAACCTCATTCAACCATAGGTTAGCTATGAAGTGCATTATATGGCAAATAATTTGCTGTGTTCTGTGTGTTGCTGTATTCACTCATATAGATGAAGCTGATGTTTACACTATTACCGATTAATTCATCATCACTGCCAATTATTTCCTAATATTTAGGAACCATAGATATGAACCAGAAAGCTTTCTCAAAATCTAGATGGAAAAGACAAACCCTGTTCCCTCGAAGCTAACTCTAAGGCTAAAGCCAACGGAGAGGTGGATACAGAGAAGAGAAACAGGAAACAAAGCTTGTCTACACTGTAGGTCAAAGGGGTGGTATGGAAAACTGAGACAGGGCTCTGTTGAAAACAGTGGGAGTCACAATGATGCTTTTCTGTATCTTTCTGTGCACCTCTTGGCCAATTCTGCATCGTGTAATCCAGCCCTCGATCTCACTATAAATGTCTGTCTGACTCTGTAACACTGTGCTATAAGAAAAATCAGTAACCTGGGGACTGGGGAAGGGACTTTGAATCAGTGCAGTGTTTTACCTGATAAGAAGTAAATAAATGTGGAACATTGAGAAAAAAAAAGCTCTTTTCTCCATGAACATCATCCTTCCCAAACAATGAAGGTTTCATTCCTCAAAGTGCAAAGTAGCTGGGCTCTGCTCCATCTTCCCTTTCTCTTGATTTAAATATCTGAATGATCACATCAGGATTACTCAGATCCTTGGCTTCAAGCTGTGCACACAGAACTCAGAAATACCATTTTCTTTAGCACTGGACAAGTATACCAACAGTGTATAATTTCCTGGTCTCTGAATTCTTCAATTTGAAAGCTACCTGCGTATGTATTTTAAATGAAGTTATGGGTTTCTGGCAGCTAATGGAAAGGCCACCCAAAGGAGGGTGTGGCAGTACAAGGCACTCACAACTGTGGACACCACAAGTGGTTGGCAGATGGACAGCCCAGCTACAAATGTTGGAAAGTGTGAGCTGTGCAGAGCAACTGAACTTCTGTTAAGCATGCCAGAGAAGGACACAACTCGAAGATGATACATGGAAGATAATGAATCTGTATGGAAACACTGCCTACAGCACTGAGGTTCTAACTGGCAGTCTGTGAGTTGGTCTCAGCTGGAGGGGTACTTCTCTACCACACTCAGCAGCTCAGTACTGCAAACTGTAGTGATGGGTACATAGGCTGTGCCATGAAAAATTACTTTTTTAGCCTGATTTGTCACCTTCATAATGTAAGTTACGTATATAGCAAATAAGTAATACAGCTTTGGGAAGAAAGTATATTCTAGCAGGGATAAATCAGGCCTTGCCTTCTAGCTAGAACAATTCTTTTGCATGTAACTGTTGGCAACTCCATTTCCATTCCAGCCAGCTTTTCTCAGTTTCTTCTGCAGTCAGCACAGTGAAGGTGGAAAGGGGGAAATCATGAAACACAGCGCCAAACCACTGAAAGGTGACTGTGAATCAATACACGACCTCTGGAGCTCAGCCACTGGTTGGGATTTGTAGTTGTGCAGATTACTCTTACTAGATGATGCAGGCTTATTAAAAAAAAAAAAAAACAAAAACCAAAAAACTGAAATGAATACAACCACAATGAAAAAAACCAGGGGAGAAGCAGGTTTCTTTTACACTTCATAGAAGAAAAATGTTTTGATAAAAAAAATAATAAACAGAGCTCATCTTGGATCTTGGTAAGAATATCTGCAAAGTCAAACATGTAATGGTAAAAATGACATCATCTGTAATCTTTATACCAACTGCTTTTCTTCAAACAACAGTAACACAGAAATGCTATTTTGAGCAGAACTAGTCACTGTATTTGTTTTCCATTAGATATACAATCTAGAATGACTCCAACAGCTAGCTGGGCATGAACTTTATTAAACCCTGTACCAGTTGCATCAGCCATAGTAACTCACTGCCTATTCTTGCTGCTCACAATATTTCACTCAAGCTTGAGAGGAACAGATAATACACGGAAAATCTTGACAGGAATTTTCACCATTCTTACTCAAACTTGGACATAAAGGACAGAATCCATGTTTACTGAGCATGCCTGCCCTCAGGTGGGTACTGCATGCTTCTGAGCACACCACATTGATCTGATGCATTTCAACGCTCAGTCATGATATAACATATCCCCTTTTCCCTCTTCCATGGAAAGTGTCCTGTACCATGTGCAACATTGAAAAAAAAGGAGACATTGAAAATGCAGGCTTGAAGATGTCAACTATTCTTTCTTACCTCTATTCCTTCCTTGTTTAAGGCATATTCATCAAAGTTCAAAATAGCAGTCTTGATAGTGCGGGGAGGGGGCAACACAGTCAAGCCAATATTAATAGCATTGCTTCGTTTTGAGTCCAATACGATGATCTCCTGTCGCTTCCCATCTGCAGCAGTTTTCTTGGTAAAGAAGAGAACAAGAACATTATTCCTCCTGCCTGTTTCATAAAGAAAAAGTCACTCCTTTCACTAATGACTTCCTCTACTGAAGGGTGCTGACTGAATGTAGATCTAATTCATTTATAGTCATCCAAAAAAGCTGAATTCTTCTACCACATCCTTGCTGATATCAGCATAAGCTACCAGGATTTAACCAGACAGCTGAATGTAGCCTCAGATGCCATGCAAAGTCGAGCTAGCCCGAGCCACGGGAGTCCCTGTGAGGGCTGGAAACACTGCAGTTCAGGGCAGGAGTCAGCCTGAAAAAAGCCTGAAGCTGTCTCTGCCCAGCAGGAGCTCTGCCATGCAGCAGGATCGGCCAGCGCAGGGCCAGCAGGGCAGCTGCTGAACAGCTGCTGGGCTCTGGGGCTCAATCTCCCCTTGGATGTGCCAACCCAGAGTGGCCACTGGCCCTCTCTCCCCTGCTGGGAAAGAGACAGGCTGGTTCCCACCTGCCTGCAGCACTCTCCTGTGTTACAAATCCACCTCGGGCACTGGCAAAGGAGCTGTAGAGGTCTTTCTGGAGACACTGGCACGGTTTTCTGACTTCTGGATGCCAGAGGAAGGGTATTCTACCTTGCTGCTCATGGTATGTCTGTCAAGGCCTTCACAGGTGCAGAATTTCAATCGTTCTGCTTTTTTTCCAAGTCTTATTTGAGACTAGACATAACCTTTGGATCCTACCTTCAGTATAAACTATGGTACAAATAATAATGAAAGCACAAAGAACTAACAACATATGCTTTAAATTCCATTCTAGAGAAGACCCAGGCAATTTCTTCCTCTCTCTCCCCATCCTCATAGTCGAAAAATGAGAACCAACAAAGCAAGGTGACTCATAAACCATTCACATGGCATAATGCAGTGTTGAATGTGGTCTTTGCTTTTATGCCCCAGCACGCCTCTCTTTCTCTCATTATCCCATGCTAAAAGGTGTCTCTTTGGCAACTACATACATCAGATAACAGGCAGCAGCAAGAGGAGAGGACTCTGCTCCTCATACTCGGGGGTTTTTCTCCCTCTCCGTACACATAAACTCTGGAAACATGTTTTCTGTTTCCCCTTTCTTTGCCCTATCAGAGATGGGCTGAGGGATGCTGTCAAGCACAGGAATGCAGGGAGAAGACCAGCACATTGATGCAAGCAAGCGCAGAAATGCTTCACTACATATAAACCTGTGTTTCAGCATAGTGCAGGCTGCAGAGACAGGACTGTGACTTCCCTGTAGAGCCTGTGGTTAGTGGCTCCAGCAGCAGCAGTGAGAGACTAAGCAATCTCTCTTTCCAGGCTGCAGTGTGGCAGCCCGTACAACTGTTCAGAATAGGGAATTGGTTTTGCTGTCTACAGCGGTAGTATCTCTCACATCTCTTGTGGATCTGGGGGAAGCCCTGGAGGAGACTTAATCTCAGGATTGCTTTTTAGACCACGAAGCTTTGTTCTCCACTTCCTTTGGGTCTGTACCACAGAAACTGAGTCAAAAAATACCCTACTGCCAGGTCTACAAGCTGTTTCTGCATTGGAAGAACTATCTAAGTTAGTAAATACTTTATCAAAGTACCTCCAGCTGTGGGTCAGCCCATAATGAGAATGCAGTTGTATCATTACAAAGATGCTTTTTTTCTGGCATAGCCCAGTTGATTGCCTGCACAGGAAGAAGTAATGGCACTGGTCCGAGCAGCCTGCCCAGCACGTGTGCGGCACCACAGCCCTTCCCTTCATCCCAACATGATTAACGTGGTATGATGCAACTTCTACATGCAGGTGAGACTGAAGGCAAGTGCAGTATAAAGGAGCTGGGGACTACCGCATGTTTGTGATCTGTGAAAGTAGTAAGAGGGTTGGGTTTTTTAAACTTAGAAAGAAACAACAGTTCTGCACTAACCAGAATAAATTTTAGGAGAGCAAAGATAAATTTTTAATTTTTATATGTCTGTTCCATCGGAACTGCTCTCTTCTTAATGCCTTAAAAGCATCCCTGAAGCCTTCTTGAACTTTGGCTTCTTTGAGTAAGACAGTTCTCTCTTTCTTGGAGAGCTCTCTGAAGGATCTGAGATGCAGCTTCTGCTTTAAAGCGGTATTTTTTATTTCCAGGGCCATTAATCGCATTTTCAGGCCACAGTTAGTGGCCAAGACCACATAAAAACAAGTGAGGTTCAACAGAAAGTTCTTCCTCTTGTGTCTGTATTGCATGAAGACTTTTTTAAACCACCACTTCTTACCCTGTCCTTTGCAGCACAAAATTACACAGCTCCAAAGAATTTATGCAGAAGGGAAAAGGCTGTGGGAGAGGAGTTAAATTTAGGCTTCCCACGTGTGGTATGGGTAAGCAAGCCTCAGATCTGCAGCTCTGTTTTTAGGTTCCCAAGTTTGACAAGAGACATATATTCATTTGCGGGACATATGATGCTCACCGCTGGGATGGTTGTGATGGCAACAGTGCGCTCACTCCTTAGCAATGAGTTATGAAAGACAGCTGAGCTGTATAGGGGGTGTATGCACATAGGTATTTTCCAGAGCTATAACTGCATATGGGGTACAAAATTCTGGGGTAACTCTTCAAAAACAAGGTCAGAAGAGATCTTAAAACCATTCTGGGGATGATGGCTGAGTTACAAAGAAATCCTTTCCAAATAAATAAAAGGATGAAGAGAAAGATTTTACTACTATGAACTTTATTACCCTACCACTATGAAAAGAATTGCTTTTTGTCTGCAACAAAATTCCACACGTGTAAGTGTCTGTGTTAAAATAAGCTACAACTATTAATTTCTATTACAATATTAAGTGACTTAAGACTGTGCTTTATAAGTTCATTGGTGTCAGTATGTAACATAAGCCCTGGACTTCTGAATATTATATTATTAAATGCAAATATTATATTATTAAATGTAAATTCAAAACTAATTATAAAATACAAATATATCAGGTGGCATAATTTGCGGGAAACAGATGATGAGCACATAGTCTAAAACACACCTCTGTTTTAATTAATACAGGAAGCAGAGAAATTTAAATTACCTTTCCAGTGCTCATATAAATAAGTAATTATATATAAGCATCAAGTCAGAAATACCTCCTGCACTTAAACTTGCAGAACAATCTGCATCAGTAGTTCAGAAAAAAATGGGCAATGCCTTAATAGCAAGATGGCAATTTTTTCTATTTCTGTCTCACTTAACAAGGATTTAGCACCGGGGATTTAAAATGGAATCAGTCAACTGCCACTGACTTTGCCCAGGATACCTATATATAATATTCCAGAAATTCTGGTCCATATTTATGACTTATCTTGGCATTTATTCAAATTTTAACAAATGTTTTCAAAAGGAATATGTGTTCAGGCTTGTATAGATATACACATGAAAATGCATTCCTTAATTTTTTTCCTCATACTAGTTTTTATGTCTGTGGGCACATGATGGATCACTATAACCCACAGGGTATAGATGAATCAGCAAAATAATACTTTCAAATGACATACAGAACCAAGTGGATGGCAGAAGGGCTGAACAACAACGTTTGATTCAGTAGTGTCTGCGTGTTTTCATTTATCTTCACAGAAAAACAAACACTTTGAAGTACTTTGCCAAAATACCTGCTTTGTTTGGCGGAGTGAGAAGGAAAGAAACTCTAGACTGGCTTGGAGGGGATACCTGATCCCTCTCTTTCTATTCGCAAATATAATGTTGTTGTCCTCTATTCTAGAAAATAAACAGTTTGAAACTAAAGGTGCTCCACTAGCAATGTGCAAGTTGTCCAATGTGGCACAATTTTTCCTAAAATCAAGAATCTCCCCTCCCAGCCCCACTCCCCTCCTCATTATACCCTACAATTTAAAATACACTTATTTTATTGCAGTCTATTGTGCTTAATGAAAAACTTCTCATGAGCCAGGAAATAGCTGTTTATAGCTGTGTGTTGTGGAAATCACAGTGAAGGATTAGAAACTGGAGTAAAATTGGTTACAGCTGTATGAAAGAGCACACACACAGGACGGAGCCAAGCCCCCCTTACACACCCTGACTTCGGTTTTCCTCTCATCTTTCTGGACTGTTCCTTTCTCATGCACCTGTTTCCATCTATTGCTATGAAATCTGGAGATTTGACTTTTGATTTGTTGCTCTGCACTCTTTTTTTCAGCTGAACCAACTGAGCTGTGAGTCAGACTTTATGATATTATAGAATAAACCTGTTTTGGATTCCAGCCATTGGACAGGAGAAACTAGACACAACGGGGAATGTACTCCCTGGAACTAAACCAAGCAGTCTGGAAAAAGCGAGAGCTATCCTAATTTGAGTGCAATCTTTGTACCAAACCTCAAGTCTTTTACAGATTCAGTGGTCTGCTTAATTATTCCCACTCTCACTGGATCTAAGGACCATCTCCTACCCAGGAAGATTTGCTGGTAATTCACCAAAACCAGGCAGGAGTCTCAGAAGTCTGGGTAGACTTCCACTGCAGTACTCCTCGGTCACCATTGTCTTCTTTACAGAGACAATGAGACTTCTATGTCTGTGTTATGGAACAGTGTGGAAAAAGAGCCAAAAGTATAATGTCTCATGCAGAGAGCAGTTATTAGTCTCCAAGAGAAAAGCAGTCACCTAAATCATTCCTCAGACTTGCACTAATTTCAAAGAAACCTGCTCACTCATCTTCCAGCCAGAAGCCAAAAGCTGTGCCAAAGCATCAGGGAAGCAAGTGTGAGGGAGGGAAAACGGCCAAAGGTAGTTTGGGAATGTGCATGGTGAATGACTGGAAAAGTAAACAAGTCAAAATTCCAACAATGTAACATTTTATCAAAATTTCGGGTAAGAATAAAAGATTAAGAATCAGATGGAGTGATCCATTACAATACTGGCATTTAGCACAAAGCTAAAGTTTGGTAATGGCAAATATGTCATCATTTCACATTCAATTCGAGGAACTGAATGTTTTATGGATCTAAGAAAACTCTCTCATTCCTTCCATCTATGAACCATCTGTGGGAGATTTGTATTTACAGGGAGAGAGATGAGGGGTAACACGCCACAACGTCACCAGCATTCCTTCCTCAGCAAAAAAGGAATTAGAGAGAGAAATTAATCTCCGCATCAGCCAAATGAATGATCAGCTGAATATGTTTTTAGAGCTGCTACACTATACGTTTCAGATCTACATGCACCCACGTCACAAAAAATTCAGCTAAGAACAGCAATGGCTGGATCCATATGAGCCATCTATTTATATACCTGTTGTTTCCTAGCTACTTAATGAGGTGCTTGATGGTTCAAATTTGAATGTTTCCACTTGGCTAAGAAGATCAAGAATGATTATTATAAAATTTTGAGTTAATAGTGACACAGAGAACTTCTATCATGAGACATTCAGTCTCTCCAGATTAAGAGCAAACAATAATATATATGATACCTAATACATATAACAACTTTTGCCAGCCAAAGAGAAGTAAAATATTGAAGGTGCTGACTGGTTTTTATGTCACTATAAAACATATAGGCAGACAGAGAGAACATACGAGTGACTTATTTACTTTAAGTAAGAGAGCTGGACATCTTTTACTAGCATTTTAACTGTAAAACCCCCATTGTTTCCCTGATATTGATTATTCTGCTTAGAAGAAAAAGAGTGTATGTAGCCATGAAAAAAAATGCTCAGGCTAATAACTTTTTTAATGCTACTTCAAACTCCTTCTAAATGTAACTATAACAGACTTCCTTTTGTTGTTCAGCCTAATGTTAAACAGCCATGTCACCAGCCTTTGTGAATTTATTTTATAACAACACTAAGGAAGAGGGAATCCTAGCTACAAAGGTTATTTCCTGTGCCAGCTTCTATCCTAAACTTTAGATAGCCACATTGTACAAAAATAAAGAATTTAAAATCGGCCTATTCACTAGTATGAAACAAAACCCAACACCCCTGCAGAGTTTAGCTGTAAACTTAGTCCAGTCGATAAATCGATCCTTCAGAACAAAGCACACGTGTAGACTCTGTGCAGCAGATCCAGTTTGATACTCTAGCTTTTCCATATAAAGGTTAGGAAAATACTACCAAGTGAAGATCTGTCAAACACACACATATGAATCATCATGCCGCGACACTTACATGAATGCCACAGAAAAAAATTCCGATTTTAATACCTAGTTTGGCACTTAGCTATGAACAAGCTAATATAAAATCTGCCCCACCTGAACTGATATCCCAAAACCGGTAGACCTGAGACAGGAGGGCAGCTTGGCACGTACACCACCTTAGGCCCACCTCCTAGTTTCAGGCCACGGAATATCTTCTGTCATGGACCAAGCTAGGAACACATTCAGTAATTTCCACTGTTTTCATATAAACAATATAAATCACCTAAATCTAAGTCAGAATGAATACCAATACAATAGCAAAATAATAGCAAGCTGAATATGAGCTGTACCTTTGTGACAGGCAGTTCCTTGGATTTAGACTCAAAGAGATGCTCCAGTTTGGAAGTGTCCACCTTAATGGGTTCCAGTTTCGACCACAGGAATTCTCTGCAGCGTTTGTTGTTTTTACACTGCCACTCAAATGGCCGTACCTCGTTCCAAAACAGACGGATGGTTTTCTTCTTCTTTATAAATGCTGGCTGACCCCTAGAAACCTGGGGTGACCCTAAACCCTGAGGAGTGCTAAACAGTGGAGGAGGAGCCAATAAATTAGCAGAGGGTGGAGGTGGAGGCGGACATCCAAACAGCGGGGGAGGTGGTGGAGGAGGCAAACCCAGAAAAGAAGGTGGAGGTGGAGGAGGGGGAACAAGGGAGTCCCCAGGACCCATATCCATGTCCAACACATCTACATCATCCTCCTCCCCTAAGTCTGTAAAATCCATGTCTTTGATTTTAAGTTCTCTAGGATTAGCCATCAGCTGATCCCAGATGTAGTCAGATTCCTTCTTTGGCTGTGCTGGTGTTTTCTCGGAGACCTGTTCACTGATTTCATCTTCAGGCATGGCTGTCCCCTTGGCCAGCTCACCACTGTTGAATTTTTCCGCAAAGGCTTTCACGCTGCCTTGGTTGTCCAGATTTCCAATCTCCATCTTTTTGACACTTTCATCTTTGGCCTGCTTTGTGGCCTGAAGGATAGAGATCCTACTGGCTAGGCTAGTGAGTGACTCCTCACTTTCCTCCGTCTCCTTCTTTTCCTCCTTCGCCTCCAGCTCCTTCTCCTCTTCATCCTTGGGCTTTTTGTTATGCGCATACAACATGTCCAGCATAAACCGCTTGTTGTTGAGGATGTTGCTGCACTGCTCATTCACACCAGCATCCTGAATGGTCTGTGACCATGGACCTGCAATCACACACACACAGATGGGCAGAGTCAAGGGTAGGGAGCCAGAGCATGAGGAACACTCTTCAACCCACCAGAAAAAATTTGGGGGACACATGCACAATTAGTTTGAAACTGGGCAAACAGTAGCTTTGAAAATTTTGAAATAAGTGACAGTGCTGATATATGGCCCAACCTTGATGGGTTGGGTGTAAATCTCAAAAAAGGAATGAGAGCAGAAAATAATCAGTGTGGCTTGGGAGGGACTATATAACGTTCAGGATTTCAAGGTTCAGGTTTCTCCTGGAATCTGTCAGGTTTCACTTTCTACTTACTACCTCAGCTCATTTTATACAGTGCATAAATGCTCAGAAACTTTAGTAATCCAGAATGGGGCTTAAATATCATGACAATGGCACAGAATAGGTTATTGTCATACTCTTTACCTGGCCATAAACTGGAACCACCCCAGGAAAACTTCCTTATAAAAGAGATCTTCCCTATCTGTCAGTCATGGTCAACATGTAACTGCATACTCCTCTTCTTCCCTCCCTGCTGGCTAGGAGGAGGATACCTTTCCTGAGGAACATCTGGCTGTTCCTCAGACCTCCTGGCTGGGTCCCTGGGACATCTTCACAACATGGACTATTTGAATCCCAGAGCAGGCTGAATATCCAGGGTACATCTCTCAACGAGTATAAGCACAAGCAATTTTTTTTAAAGTTATTTCTAGGAATATAAGCACCTTTATAAAAGAATTTTGAAAATGCTGCTCATCAGTCACTGTTACCCTCCCTGTAATACATGACAGCATTGAAAGCCTGATGTCCTCTTTCCCACATCACAATCATTTAAAGTGTCACTGTAATGAAGCATCTTTCTGACTACTGCTTTTCTCAACAATAACCTGCAAAATATGTTTGAGACATCACCATGAATAACAAACTGTAGCAGTCAAATTGTAAAAATAAATTATATAAGTGTCTCTTCGACTACACTTCCCTGAACGTAATACTGCTAACCAATGTGGATAATGTGTCTAAAAATTATGGTGCTTCTTTTTCCAGTAGACATCAGATGAAGTGATTAAACATGGACAAAGATAATTCTTCACACTCACTATCTGCTGTATGGGATTCCTTCTGTTCCCCATAGTTTTCACACATTTTATATTAATATCTATTTCTTAAACACATTTTATTTTGATTGCTAACCTGCCTTCCTTTTGGCCCCTTGTGGTTAAAGATATTCTTTTATACCTGTCAGTTGCCCTTTCTCTTAAACTTCCATTTTATCTTTGTTTCTCCCCTTACACTCCCACCTTTTTCAATACTTTAGACTTTTAAACATCTTTTATGGCTTCCTTCATCAATGGAGTTGTCTTCTTACCACGACATCTAGCCCTGTGCTCTGAGAAGGTGTCCCCTCAGCAAGATCAACATCCAGGGCCCATGACTCTCACCCCGCCTCTTTAAAATAACACATTGTTAAAATGAAGGACAGATCTCACAGCACAAAGCATACGGACAGCAATGACTCTCACCTCTATTCAGATCAACCACATTTCTAAACCACATTTTAAAATGAGTCCAGAGGTTTAACCCCAGACAAACAAAAGACTTTTCTTCAGCAATGGATGCAACCTCCAAAACTCTTCTGCTTTCCTTCAGGAGGCCTGACTGCTTCCATTACCTGTTTATTTCTCCTCAGACTTCATCCATGGGATTACTTTCTCACCAAGATTTGCTTCCTAGGGTATTCTCTTAAATTTGTCTCTGAGGTAGTTTCACTAGACAACGTGACTAGACAATTCCTTCCCCACACCATAGATTTTACTCAGCTGAGCCCCCCCCGAGGATTTTCCCCTGCTCCCAGCCCTTCCTCCAAAGATGTTCAAGATTGCTCCCAGGATCCCTCCTACAAATCCCACTCCTACACATCCTAGCCACTCTCAGCTTCACCAGCTGGGATCCTCCAGGATTTAATCCCTTTGCAAAACTGCTCATCACAATTCCCCCAGACACAATCTCTAATTTGGGCTCCCCAAATCTGCCTCCATCTTCCCTAGCTGATCGAAGATTATTGCTGTGAAGACTCTTGCTACCTTGGTGGCCTCTTCTGCTCTCCTCTCTACAGGTAGAGCTTTGAAATACCATCAGAGAAACAAGACTTATTGGAAGCCAAATTCAGCAAGATGGCTAACGAAGGAGGAGCCAGGACCAAGGCTTTATTCCTTTGTCATTAATGCATCTGGCCATCTCATAAATGGCAAACTGCTTGCTGGGAATGTGAGAACTGCTGGAGAAAGCGCTCTGGTTTGCTTTCCAAATCTCCTCACCTACTCGAGAGCAAACAACTCACTACACGAGACCTCCTACACAGCACAACCTAATAAACTTTCGGTCTACTGGTAACATAGGACAGTTTTAAGATGTTGATTTTTCGATAACAGGGTACATTTCTTAGCTTTTAACAAAAAGTAAGTAAGCACTTAATTATAGTGGTAACAGGTTGGTAACAGACAAGATAAGGAGAAAAAAAACCTGTAACCTGTTCTCCCTTACTTGTACTTGGACTATGCCACAGTGTAACAACATCTTTCATCTCTCATACCTCCCCTCCCTTTCCTACATATACATCCATCTACATTCTTTAAGAGTACAATAGCATTCTAAGTAACTCCATCTTGGTGCTGGTTGAAAAGAAGTTAGCTTTTAAATTTAGAATAAAATTACCTTAATGCTTCCCGGAAAAAAAAAAAAAAAAGTGATAGGATTTAAACATCAACAGTACAATCTGACAATTTAGCTCTGTGAGGTAATCCTCCTGATTCAGAGTTATCCCTCTTCTTTCAGGGAAGAGCAAGACTATTTCACAGTGTGAAGCAATTCTCGGTTTTTCACCTAGAATTTAGAGAACTTAGGAGAACACACTCCACTGTTCAGCCCTAAGAAAACACGGAAACTAAATGCCCTAATTACATTACACTCCTTTACCCCTCTTATAAAAAGGGGAAGAGAGTAATTAATCAACAAATGTAAAAATCTGCCTTTTACTCCCTCCCTGTCTGGGCTGCATGACAAGCTCTGGCTGTCATTAACTCTTCAGGAAGAAAACTGGTTCTTAAGGTGTTTTCCAGGCTATGCCTTTACGGGTGCCTGGTGGCCTATCTGGCCAGAAGCACTGGTCACTACAGAACTGGTCTTTTCCAGACAAGGTCTGTTTCATGTGCCTCCTCCACACAATATAAAGATGGCTACTGCCCAGACCTATCTTCAGCAGCTCCTATGTATCCTTCACTGCTTTCTGAAGCCTAAACAAGACAGGAGAACTGAAGAGAAGCCCTCATTGCTCTTCCTCTTCCACTGAAAGGATAAGAAAAGGTATCTGGAATCTCAACGCAAATCGTGTCAGTATGGCCCCTCGTCTCATTGTTTTATGTGTAAAAACCCCCCAGGTTGCTGCAACGTGATGATTCAAAAGTTAACATATTAATCTTAGGGGAAGCAAATAGTCTTGAATCAAAGGAAACCTCATTTCATCACGGCCTTACTGTCCCTCGAACATAGAAACCCCATCAAAGTCTGTGGATTTCCAAGCTGAGAGTAGACCAGAATTGGCCATGGTGAAGAAAGTCTTAGATAGGCGCAAAGGGTTTGTTAGCTAATTAGCACAACAGAACTGCTAATTTAACATTGTTTTTTTTGACCAGAAACCCTTCATTATTGAAAAAGCTTCACTTTACCAGTTTCATTGTCACTGGTTAACTTGTCCTCTCTCTCTTCCCTCTCTAAAGTGCTGCTTGCTGAGGATATGCTGGATGCAGAGCAGTTGTCTTTTTCATTCACTTCCTCATTCTGCCTCTCTTTTTCACTGAGTATTGCACTTTCTTCTGGCTCTCTCTCTGGTCCTTGCTCCACCTCACTCTCTGGTCCCACCTCTGTAGCCTCTATTTCCTTGGGTGTCTCCGTTCCCTGCTCGGCCTCAGCCTCAGCCTCCTGCTCTGGTTCTGGTTCTGTCTCTGTCTCTGGTTCGGGTTCACTGGCACTCACTGGTGGAGAGAACAATGGGAGAAAGAGATTCACTTCGCAACGGAGTCATCTCAGGCTCAACCCTCTAAGTGAGAGCGACGTGAAAGTTGTACAAGTGCCTTATGGAAAGAAAATAAAAAGCAAGTCCACGGCATGCTGAACATTAGGAGCAACAGACTGATGAATGTTGTGCGACGACAGCATTGCACATGAGAGCGGCCTAGCAAACCCCCTCGCTTGCTGTCTGGAGCCAGCCCACTGTTTTTATGCATACTTCCACAGCTGGAGTGTTTGACTTGCATAAGGATTTGAACAAACCAGCGGCAAATAAATGGGCATCCCACCTGAGCATGATATAGACAACCCAGTGCCTAGACAGAGCCAGGAAGGAAGAGATCTTTTAAAAAGCAAAAAGGAGGGAGACTGTGGCTTTTGGTTGAATTTTCTTTGAGTTCTGGAAGAATTCTTTTTTCACCTGATGAAGAACACTTCAACAAAAAAATACAAATATTAGTTTTATTAACACAGTTGAATGGCACAGTCTGGAAATGGTACTGTCACACATTTCACTGACAAAAAACATATGCTTTTTCATGCACAATTACTTCAGAATAGCCACATCAAAACTGAACAAAGTTTCCAAATGCTTGGCATATGGCATAAATTTAATTTCCAATTGGCTGGCATATGGCATACAACGAGCTTTTTTATCGGCTGGCACATAGCAAACACTGTTGATAGTACACTTGGTTTCTTCTTCCCTGCTTTATCATTGACAGTGAAGTGAATTAATTCACCTTTAGGGTTTTTAGCTATAACAGCAAATTTTCACATGCAAATATTCTCTGCATGCTGCAAAGAAACTGAAGAGCATCCACACATATTCACATCAAGCAGCTCACAATTTTTGAAAACTGAAATGGCCATGCAAGAGTGATGAAAATGGGCATGCATGTTAGTTCTGCATACTTCTGAAATTCCCTCTGTACTAGATCTTGTGTTGGGTGGCTGAACTACAATGACCAAGTCATATGTGTTTTTTCCCTCTGTTTTTTATCACAATATTGCAAAAGCGCCCTCTCTTCTTGTCATGGTCTTTGAATCAGATGATGTTTGAGAGTTTCGTCAAGAACTACATGAACCTTTGAAGGAAAAAAACTATCACCCTTGAATGCAATCCAAACATTTTGGTCCTCTAGGGAGCAGGTAAACAGATTTATGCTGAGAAAGTATAAGCCAAAGTAATGAAGGTCACAATGTTCTTCCTAAGAGTGTTTCAAGTTGCGCGCCTATTCTGAGACACCCACACAAATACGAATGATTTCTAACAATGCTTGTGCCTACCTTTACAATAACGCATACGTTTTGAAACTAGCTTTCAGTAATACACTTTCAGTACCACTTCATTTCATATAATTTAAGTGTACAAAACTGCAAATGATTTTTTTGCCACTATTTTCATTGGAGCCAAGGTCCTACACTTTCTCAATTAATTTTAAATAAGTAGTTAGTTAAATAACCAGTCATGCATATATAATACATTTATATAAAAGAAATGTACACATAATGTGTTTAATATACGTAGTCCATGCTCACCCAAATCCCCCTAAGATGTTTTAAACCACTCCCAACTAGAAGCTTACCTTTCTTCCTCTTCTCCATAGAGAGCACCTAAAAGCCTAATATTAGACATGTGAGCAGCTCTGCACATGCCTTGTCTCTCTAAGTGTACCTTACCCATGACTGTACCCTGGGCACTGCCTACAAGAGAATCAAAATTACAGAGAGCTGGCAAGAAGTTGGCAGGCACTCAGAATCCCCGTGGTGTGTTTTGACCACAGCTGTCAGTGTGAAGGTATAGCACAAGAGCATTCTAAAGTCAAGCCAAGATTTGAATATAACTCAGATGGAAGCTAAGGAATCCTTCAGGAGTTCCTGGAACTAATATGGTACTGCAGCATGAAAGATTCAGCTTGCCATGCTGCAATGGTCCATCTATACAAATGTCACCAATTCTCTCAAGGCTTAGCTCCCTGCCCCCATTAAAACAAATGAGTGAGTTGAGGCCTTTAAATGAGCAGAAGTTTTACTTGCAATTGGATTAATCAGGAGGAGGAAAATGGAGTGTGGCTTTAAGGACTAATTTTTGAGTCATATACCCACTTCTTTTTCTGCCAGAACTTAATCCCTAAAAATGTATTATTGGAAAAAAATGTGAAGATTTCTCGGAAGAATGAAATCTTCTAAAGAAGCTGTGTAACCTCATCACTGAAAAAGACAGCAGCAGAGTCCCTCAATGAACGTGTACAGATTTTGTTGTTTTGAGAGATGGTGTAATCTGCATCTTCTGACATTTTACAGACTTGGTCACGTAAAGCCCTAGCAACCTGATCTGCTATGATCTGATAAGATGTTGGTGACAGCCCTCTTTCGAGTGAGGGGTTAGAGAGGACAGCAAGATGCTCCCTTCTGAAAAACACAGCTACAAACTTGTAACACTATACAGGAACATTGAGGGAAATGACTTTTCTTTCAATGTTCAACTATAAATAAACTCTGAAGCAGACACAAGATGCTGTATCCGTAATACCTGCTGATAAGACCTCAACTCCCCAGTCTTATAAGACCTCAGAGAAAAGAAAAAGCCCTCCGGGCCCACATCTAATCCCCTGCCAGGGTAATAGATTAGGCAACCACGTCTTCATCTATTTTCTCTGCTCTCTAATTGGAGCTGGGAGATACACAAGCTAAGTGTCTCTTGAGGATGTGTACAGTAAGTCTGACGATGGCTACAACTACCCAAGCCCTCTTGATTCAACTGTTCAGGCATCGCTTAAGTTTCGTTATCTCCCTTCAGTTCCTCCAGCACAGGATTCCTCTTGCTGTGAATTCAGCAGGGACTCTCTCTCTTTCTCCACCCCCGTCCCAGTCTTTTCTTCCCATTCCTTGTGATGGCAAAAACTAGCACAGAGTGTTCACCAGTAGGGAACTGGCTCTTTCTCCATCAAGTCAGAAATGATCTTTCTTTGTCCTCCACCCCAGTTCCTCTGACGTTCTGTACCATGGTATCTTTGGCTCTACAACTTGGGCTGCAATGGCCTCACTGTGCCCTCATGCTCTGGTGCTCCTCCATCTGCCAAGATGCTTTCACTATTGATACTTTAGGCAGTATTTGAACCTTGCTCAATTACTAATATGTTCCGAAGGTTTCCTACTGTCCACAATGTGCACTTGGGTTGGCCTGCTTCTTTCCTCAAGTGCTAAAAAAGCTGCTCCTCTCAGAGGAGGGTTCATCTGCAATTCCTTTGTGGACTGACTTCAGAGATGTCTTGGTTATTGTTGGTCTTTACTGCACATGTGCACTTCATAAAATATTCTCCAATGAAATTAAAAAAAGAGGAAGTAGCTGCTCTGAAAAAAAATACGAAGTTCCATTTTGCAGTTATGGGACTGCCTTCATTTCCTCTGAATGCCATACTCCAAGTTTTACAAGAGTAAGTCTTAGAAGACTTGATTACTTTAGTGGAACCAATTGTTTTATATGAGAAAACATTTCAGCTCAGTAAGTCCAGATTTTTATATTGGGTAATGATACTGAGATGTTTCACAGTGTGGGACAAAGTTCCACAGACAAAACCCATTTCCTTCTTAAGCCCAGTACATACTAGATGGCTAAAGGATACTTCAGCACAATCGGCATAAAGTAAATCTGACGCAAAAGATCACTTATTGTTTTGCTAGTGTGTCCTGGTTCAGCTGGGACAGAATCCCAGCCCAGCCATGCCAGGCAGGCCGTTAGCAGTTTCCAGTCAGCCAGGGCAGCTGACCTGAGTGAGCTACAGGGGTAGCCCATCCCATCATGTCACGGTCATTATAAAGGGGGAAGGTTTGCTGAGGAGAGGGAGCTCTTTTGGGGTTCCTGCTGGGGTTCTCCCTGCTCCTCCAATGGCTTCTCCCTGCTCCCGAGGACTGCTCTCCTGTTGATTGTGAACACTGGGTATTCATTTGGCTTTGTCTACCTTTGTCGGTGTTAGTACTGTTTCATCAAATCTGTTTTCACTTCAACCTACAGGTTTCCTCTCCTGTTACCGATTCCCCTCACTGGCTGGTGAGGGGTCATCAGGTGATAGGGCGACTGTTATTGTTTAGCCTCGGATACGGGCTAAATGTAGACAGAGAAGAACGCACTTCCCATTTGACTTCAGGTTCTGAATTCTGCAGATGAACATCGCAGAATCACAGAATGTTAGTGGTTGGAAGGGACCTCAAAAGATCATCTAGTCCAATCCTCCTGACAGAGCAGGACCACCTAGAGTAGATATCACACATCTGTTAACGCTGTGCTTGCAGAGTCTTTGGAGGGTCCTATGCACAGAACTGACAAAGTGTTTTCCTTCTGTAGTTTCATCCTTGCTTGGGAAGATGGTGACCGCCATGTTCAAAGAAACTGCTTGGGGTAGAAATAATCTGTGTTCTGTTCATGGCTATTTCAGCTTTCCTACAACTGGCTTAAGCAAATTAATGCCTCAGCTTCTCTGTCTACTAAGTGGGATTCATAACATCTCCAAAGGCAGTAAAAGTTGAGATTTTAACTCACTATGAAGCATAAGGAACTCGAATAGTCTAGAGGCCATGGCACAAAAATCTACAAATAAGCCGGCCAGCTATTGACTGATATCCAACAATCTGGCCACCTCCAGATGAGACAGCTTGTCCTGCCCACACGCTCCCTACTTCACACGACCTTTCCAGTGCTTTTGGTAGGCCTGAAACAGCAGTCCTTCCTCATGCACAGCTCCCACCGAAGCATGCAGATTTCAGGGCCCTGTTCTGGTGCTGTCCTGGACGTCTGCCTGCAGCTGCCCTTGGCTGGAGGCTTACCCTGCCCCATCCATATGTTTTCTCCTTGCAGTCCATTTGCCAGGCTTGCAGGTGCTGCCCTCTGATGCCTACTGATATTACTAGGAGTTTTAGTAGAGGTGTCCTGCCTACCCACGTGTTGATAGCTTTGCCATATTCTGGCTGCCTGAAGTTGCCCTGTACACCTGCTCTAAATGTATTCTCCAAATGGATTGTGCTGCTCCATTTCATGCTGCAATTTTTTTGAATGCTTCCAGGAGAAATATGTTAAAATAATCATCATAAGAGATACTTGCTCCCTACCCAGCTCTGAAATCCTGATGGTGGAAAAATCCAGCTTATTTGCTCTAAAAGCTATACTGCACTCAAAAAGAAAAAAAAAAAGGGCATCTGGATGTTTCCGAATATCAGTGTTATAACCATGTTATTTAAGTTCAAATGATTCTACCGAGACTTTTAAGGTGCCAGACAAGAAAACTGGGAATATAATTGGGAAAATATACAAACCTAAATTAAATAAACTTCACCTACTTAGTACAGTGAGGATAAACATACGCAGCGTTCAGTATTTGTAACTTTTTTTCTTAAATTGCCTTGCTTTATAGCATGCTACCAGCCATAACACTCAATAAAACCAAGCAGTGCAAGTTACAAATGCATTAATCACCAATAGCATGTAGCAGGAAATCAAATAAAATAAAAGTGAATGATGGCGATAATTCACCCTCCAACATGCATTCTAGCTCCCAATGTTAATGCTACATCATGTGGCGTAAATATAAATCTGTATGGTGGGTGTTTTTTTTGAGGACTGAAGGAGGGGTACATGATGGAAGTGGTAGAATGACGTGCACACACGAAAAATATTGCTCTGTACACCAATAAATTATATGACAGCAAACCAACCGTGCAAACACTAATTATACTTTCCTTTTTACTAATTGTCTGTGGTCTCTTTTAAGTCCTTTACTACTTGTGCTACAAGTTTAAGAGTTTTTGTTGGTGTTAAAAATAACCAACACACCCTCCCTGCCTTCAATTCAAGACCTTTTCTGTTTGTCCCATTCAGCCTGTGCGCTGCTGGAAGGTTATTATAAACTTGGCATTCATCTGTTGCATTTCTTTCAGAGAATCCACATAAGCAAAATCTGTTGGCAGGAATATTGTTGGTTTAGTGTTCAGTAACTTCTAATATACAAGGAACATGATGATAAAATTAAGACCCTCTGTATGCTGTATTTTCCAATTACTCCATTCTAATAGCAACCGACAATGATAATGTAAATCATAGCAACAATTAGCAGTGCATTCTTTACTTGAATAGACTAGAAGACATCCAAATCTATGCAAAAAAAGAGAAAATTCAGGAAGACAGCATGAAACAATAAAATAAGACCCTTTACTTTGGCACCTCAGAGGTTATATTCTTGCACTCATGCATCAAAAATCACTGCTAGCCCAAGAGAAACTGAAATAAAGCCACTGCTCTTTCCCCTGCCATCCTTTTCACTTACCTTCTGAGGGCTGAGGGGTCCCACAAGGGGTGGAAGGGGTCTTCAGCTCTTCCTGGGACTCTACGGATGCTGGGCTGATGCACTTGGGTACAGGCGAGCATGGGGCTGACGGAGATCTCAGGTTCAAGGATAGCTCACTTCTGCCTCGGCTTACACTCCGACTCTTCAGCTCCTTCTCATACTCCTCTGCTGCCAACCTCTCCAAGTATTTGTATCTGAAAGTTAAATTCCAGAGGGTTTCCGTAAAGAAAAAGAAGTCTGTGGCTGATGCTTGTTTATGGACGAAACACCTGCAGAGAATGAGTTGACTTCCTGACACAAGGGGTACAGCACTAAACTGCCTGCCTGCTCAATCTGCCAAAAAATGCACACCAAAGCAAAGACTATTGCCCTGAAAAACGTTAAATTGCTCATGACAAAATAAAAGCGAAACCCAGCAGTGTTAAAGAGTCTTTAGATACAGTATTGTGTCTGCATAGTCCTTCTCCTTTGGAAGCATTTGTCTGTCCTCCTTTTCACCCTCCTCCTTCACCTCCTCCTCCCAGCCCTCCCTCTCCCAAAACTATAACGGGAGAGAAAAAAAAAAAAAACAACAAACAAAACCTCCAAAGCCAGAGCTCCTTAATAGTGATGCAAATAGCCCAAGTCTGAGACTTGCTGCACGGAGAGGAAAATGGTTCGGTACAGCAGACAAAAACAGATCTCCCTGAAAATGATACCAATAATAAATGTTTGGATTGACTATCTAAACTCTCTGAACCTGCTTCTATTTGCTCTGAGAGCAATGCACTGGAATTCACTTTGTTCTCTCCAGAGTCTACAATGGAAAGTTTTCTTTTTTTTTATTCTAAAAAATTTCTCTGCCGGACTCAGACATCCAATAGCTTGGACCTGACGTCACATGTAGTTTATTCATCAAAGTCACTTTAAAAGAACAAAGATACATCTGTTTTGCATTTTAGGCAGGCAGAACTCACTAACTGTTTATTAAGACCAGCTACCAATCATATTCTTCATAGTGTGCTTTATACATTTCAACCAAAATAACTTTGAAATATGTGCCTCTTCCAGATGTCTGCTAATTTTATCCATCATTATTTGCTAAGGAATAAATTCATGAATACAGCTGGATTGGGCTTTAGACTGTTTGTCTTACCCACAAGTGAACCATTGAACAGGTTAATGAAGACTACTGCTTACGCCCCCAAAACTCTGTGGCCATCCTCCTATAACTCACCATTGTAAACACTTTGTAACAGGGAACACCTCTCCTCCCCCCTTCTGCTTCACTGACAGCCCGAATTAGTGTACAAGGGTGCATTAAAAGCAGGCAGGGTAAAGAAGTCATATGTGGTAACAAACATGCTTAGTACATATGGTAGCCACACACGCATGCGCAGTTGCAAACATCCATATAGAGCACAGAAATGTGTCTTTGAAGAACAGTCCTTGTGTTTTCAGAGGCAATTTGCTTTATTGCAAACAGCAATAATGAAGAACAAACTCATTTTCTTTTATTCCTCCAGAGGTATGCACAGGCTTTGAACAAATTCTGCAAGAAAAAGAACCCCTACAGACTCTGGATGAAAATGTAACAAGTCACATACTTGTATGGTTATAAAATAGGAACTGTTTACAGTTCTAACATGAAGCCAATTCTCTAGAACGATTTTTGCCTTTTCAATAGAGGAGAAAGCCTTTTGCTGGCATTAGCATAACGTTTTGTTACAGTTCATGAAGCCAGTCTTGCTTTTAACACTGGTCCCTTACGTATTGCGCCTTCCACCTCCTCACAAGTAGAGCACATGGGACTTCAGCCTCATAAAGAGCCATTCAAATTGATCACTTAGCTCCAACAGGTACAGCCCAGCTGGCTGCCGCCGAGGAGGGTTTTGCAGTTTGCCAACAGACTACAACAAAGATCTAGATGGATCCTTCTGTAACGGGGGGGAGCTACAACATTTTATTGTCCTCAGCTCTTTTTCAGCTGCTTTAACATTTTCGCTTCTGTAGCTGTGCACTGCACAGCCAACCAGAAAAGCAGAGGACTATAATCAAGATGTGCATTCTCAAAATGTATCTGTTTGTTATACCAAAGAAAAAAAAGAGAACCAGAACAGCAGTTCTTATGGCAGCACACTAGCGTAAATGGGAAGCATATATAGCAATTTAACAGAGAAATAAAAATCATTCAAGTATTGGTAATTAACACTTCACACTTGATAAATACATTTGGTTAGGTTATTTTTTATTTCTGCTGGATGTCTTAACAACGAATGAATGCCAGCATCAAATACACAAGGTCTCATGAAGACCAAAATCTGAAGGAGCTGAAAGGATGAGCTACCATCCCTCTGCTGCAATTAGTTCCTCCACTACAGGATCGACACATTGCCTCTGTACATACTGCCATATTCCTTTAAGTCGTGGAAACCTGCACACATCATCATGCCTATGCTGACTCTTCTCTACAGACGAGCCAAAAGTCTGTGGGCTATCCGTTTGGTATACCTCATGAACATGACATTCCACTAATCACCTTCAAGTAGATGAAAATATCCCTGTGAGTTCTCCAGGTCTCTGAGCAATGGCCTGAGGGTGACCTAAAATGTTCATCTACCAACAAAGTCATGGGGTGGAAAGCATTTGAGCTGTAAATCACACTAGAGGGGGCTTGGGACCTCACCTTTCTTGGGTTTATTCTTAAATTACCACTGGAAAACACACAACCAAGCAAAGTAAAAAAGGCCTCAAATCATCGAGCAGCAAGAACACATGAAACGAATAGTGCTGAGCTACACTCAAAACCCTTGAAAATGCAGCAATCTTTCTCCCTCATACCGAGGCCACCCCAGAGCCACTACAAAAGGGGGTGCCTGTATTCTGGAGCTCCAGGGTGACGTGGTAGTACACAGAATGCTCCAAAGGGCTGACGGAATTTAGACAAACCAGTGCTTTTAACAGACCCTTTCCTATGTGGTCAATATTCTCTCCTCCTACTTTCCCGAAATGACACAGAAAAAATGTACAATCCAGATTTTAACTAGGATTTTAGCACCTTGGCTATAGCATTTTCTTACAGTCCCTGCATTCTCTTAAAACAAGTCAACATGCAACTTGCTATAGGAACGAAACTTCATTTGTGCAAAGGTGCTTGTTAAAAAAAAAAAAAAAAGTTACAGAAAGTCAATGTAATGGACTACTGGTGCCAGACTTCACTTGCAGAAGTTTTCTCCAGTATTTATGTGCTGTCAAAGCAAACATGTGTCTTTCCTCTTTATGGAACTTGTAGTTTAACATTTCAGTTCAAAAGAGCCCTAAGGATAAAGACACATTCCTACTGACCAGTGCAATTGTCTCAGATTGCATGGCAGTGATGCCCTGCTGGTGAACACCTCCCCAGAAATACTCCTGTTTACTCGGCATGTTCCCTTACAACTTGAAAGCACTGGAGAGCTCGCTTCTAATTTGTTTCAAACCTTGCTGACGAGCACGCTTGCTGCAAAAGGTTTTACTCAGCTAAGATCAGTGTATGATGCTTATGAGGTCAGATGCGTTTCATTTCAGAAAACGCTTTAAATTACTTGTAACTGTTTTGGCTGGAAGGACAAAGGCAAGCCCATCCACCTTGTCTTACCCTTAGAGATGTCAAAATCATTTTTCAATACTAGCTGCTTCAGCCACAGCAGAGCAGACTTCAGTCTGCAGAAACAAGCTGCCTCCTGTATGATGATTTTGTGAAAAAACAAAATAAAACAAAAGAAGAAACAAACCAAAACCAACAAACCACCCAAAACGCAGCAACACAATGGTTTCTGAGATGGCTGCTCTCATAGTTTGATAATGTAATGCCAATTCTTGACAATCCAAAAGTATCTCCAGAGAGTAACCTCTGGAGGACCATAAAAGCTGAACTGAAGCAATCTGGATGATTTTTCATCTACTATTTGTTCAGTAATATGCATATTTTCCAGGTAAAAACAAGAGCTCCCTCCAGGGTGTAATTACTAGTGAAGGTAGAGATAAAGCTACTGAAAAGCAAAGATCTTTAGTCAAGTATTCCTTGAAAAATGTGCTTTCATAAGCACAGAGATCCCAGCCTAGCCCAGAGTTTATAAACTACTTAATTGAATTTAAAAAAGGGAAAAACTCCAAACCCTCAGTCCCTTTAAATGTGCTATTTAAATAAAACTAAAACAATGCCCTAATGATAAACTCTACTAAGCTTTGTAATTTACTCGCTGATGTTTAGAGAGATTGGCAAAGAAAACTTGGCCCTGAAAGATAAAAAATTGCTGGGAGTGGATCAGAACCATTTCTGTCAGCCTGTGACTGCAGTTTTGCAATGCTTGTGACCCCAATTTCCTTTATCCTCAGTTGCCTTTTCCGACCCTCCAGAAAGCCTGGGACCCACTGGGTGAGAAAGACAGGCTTATTCAATTTATAGCTATACTAAATTTGGGCAAATTTCTGAGGCAAATGGAGTAAGCTTATTTCCCACACAGATAGATAAACGATAGATCATCAATCATTCTTATGCATTCCAGTCCCACTGCTCTTCATTTATTGCGGTGCTTACAGCTGGACTTCATTTGTCTCTTTAATGAAACAACTGCTTTCTGATACAAGTGTTTTGGAATAAATGTGTCCTGTGCATGCAGAGTTAAAAATGTAAATATGCTACAGCTCCACATTAAAGAATACAGGAAGTGCAAACAACCAAAGGGAAGGATGGATGCGTTATATACAAACCTCTCTTCTCTTGCTTGTCTTAGTTCTTCTCTTTTGTCTAAATAATCGCGGCTAAAAAGAGAATTGCAGTAAATTGCAGAGGAAACCAGAAGAACAGGTAAGTAACAGAAGTATAAGTACAGTAGGAGAAACCAAGAGCAGTACAAACAAGCTGATGGAGACAATAAAGGCTGTTGTTGACAAAAATTATTAGTTTGTTTTTGTAAAACAGGCTGAAAAGTGTGTGTTTACACTTATCCAATCATATACCACAGGTATGTGTACATCAGATATGTAGTCTGGAAGGTCATTACAAGTAATTATAAAAAAAAAAAACCAAACCAGAAGTGAAGAACTTGAAGTACATTTTGAAACCTGGTATGTGAAACTAGATACAATGAACTAGACTCACTCATAATGAGCAGGCACATTAGTGGCTATTAAACTGCTCATTTGCTCCAACTAGAATGCCCCGAAACAGTGACCACGGCACCTGGCAGGCTAGACCAAGGCAGGGAGCATACTGAAACAGCCCTTCTTCTAATGTACCTTTCCTCGGTGTGTTTTAGTTGCCACGGTTGGAAACGGGACAGCGGAACAGCATCGCCGATTAGGGCAATTCTTTTTTCTCACAAGGTGCATACAGGATCATCGGACAGGTAACAACCTTTCACTTCCTTATTTTTCACCCCGAGTTTTAGATACAAACCTCCCTCTATCTCAGCTGCTCCTCCCACAACTCCTCAAGTAACTTATATATTTAGCTTTTGCCAAGTCAACTTTGCTGGACACCTCAGCACTGTGATTTCAGGCAGGCCTGTCACATCCACAAATGTGGATGCAAATTGAACTCAGAGCTCAGTAAATGTCCAGCCTGCTTCAATATCACAGCAAGATAGTTTCTTTGTATTTTTAATATTTTGTTGAATCTGGTGGGCAAAACTAATGAGAGTTTCACCTTATACGTTAGATTCTTCCATAGCATAACCTGTGAGTACCAGAAAGATTTTTCAGAACTACTCCATTTATGAAAAAACACTATTTTTTCTCTTTATATTGTGTCATCAAATTAATTTCTTATCATCTACTATACCAATAGCTATCAAACAACTGCTTGCAAGTGGTCTTCAAAAGTCCATGAACAGGGAACACATATTACTGCTTCAGGTTATCTCCACATCCTTTGAATCCCTGAGCTGATTATACTTTCATAACATTTTCAGAGTATTCTTTGGAGTTACAATAGCTATGGGAATAACTCCAAGGGAAAAAAAAAATCCAGGAATTTTTCAGCATGCAAATTTTAACATTACTCTCTCCTCTCTGACAACTTTCACCCTTCCCTACAGCTGAAGAATAACCTTTGTATTTTAGGACATACTGTTCTATATATGCAACGGGTATGACAGTCCTTCTAATGAGAAAAATGTTCATTATCTAAAGTATTCCTCTTGCTAGCAATAGCTTATGAAGCTTTTTAACAACTGTCCTCAAACCAAGCTCTTTCACAACTGGTGATGCTCTCCTTTAAATTATCCTCAATTTGTCAATAATGGTGCCAGAACCTAGTGCAATGTTCTCAAGGCAGAGTTGGAAAGACTGAGATAACAAATGAGTCACGATGGTAGATCCAGTACTGCTCACGAGTTTAAAGGCCATGAATTGCAAGTGCTATTTTTAATCAAAAATACATCTTCAGAGACTGGGTTTCTAGCCAGACTGATGATACGATAATGTAATCCCAAGATCTCTTACGAAACTGTCCATGACTGTTTGCTGTGGCTTTGTCCTCCTCCTGCCAGACTGCTTAATCAACTGTGGGATGCGGCCTGTCTGTGAAGTTTGGTGACTTTGGAGACCCTCTACTCAAACTCAAGCCATAACTTTTGGGTGACCAGGGAACTCAAATCTAGAAGATGAAAACACTGGGCATTGAAAAACTGTCATCTTAAATACGCAACACAATCACGGTGTTCAGTTAAACAGTTTCTGACTCTGGAGTAATGGGATGAAGATGTATATTTTAAAAAATTTGCTTTTCTGACTTTAAGAAAGCTCTTTCAGTGACAGAACAACTACTGTAGCCAACCTCTAGTGAAATGTGCAGATCTGTTATTCAAACAGGTCAAGCTGCCAAATGTCCTGGTGGCTTTTTTGGTCTGGGAGTTTCCTTTCTGAAAGATCATGTTGGCTGTCCATGGCAGCCTGCTGCAGCCTGATGATACCACTTAGAGGGAGAGTTTCTGGAAGAGGCTTTAAGACTGAGACCTGATTGTTTCTGTTTCAGGAGAACTTGGGCAGCTGTTGGCTGCCAAAGATCCTATTATGGTGCTCTTCCACCTTCCCTCTGCCTCTCATTTTCTTCTAAACTAGCTATCTTCTGGAGCCAGGAGAGTATCTCCTTCAAACCAACCAACCAACCAACCACTAGTAAGTTACTCCTCTTTCCAAATTCACTATGACACAGACCATTTCCACTTCTTAGTAAAGAGATGATTACAGTGAAAACAATCCTGCATACTAATAAACAAGCTCACATGAAACCCAGTGCCATCTTTCCCTAAATACCAGCTCCAAGGCTATGAAACACTTATCCTACCATTCTTTAGATTACCACATTATGTCTTCTAACTACTAAAAGTGCGTTTACTTTTCACTCCTGTTTATGAGGAAACAAATTCGTTTCTTAGTGTATGTCCTTCAGTAGGCAAACAGACCACTTCAGGTATAGGCTCCTTACCTACCCTAAGCCCACTGCAGTCTTTGCTAATGCCTGTGCTGGGATTTCCAGGCACGGATTTAACAGGAGGAGAGGGCTTGGCTCTTACTATCCTCAGGCAGCACACCCTATGATCCCACAACAGACAACACGTTCTCAAATGTGAAAATGGCAAATCCTGTGTTCAGCTGAGGCCTTTGTCTGGCCCCAGTTTGAGCAACAATTTTGATAATTACTTTCTGTCAGTTGCTGTTTCCAACAGGAAGAGACACATGTACAGAAAAGTGGGAAAAGGACAATACATCCCAAGGCAGCAAAAATGTCTCAGTGCTGCCCCTTCCTCCTTTCTTGATACCTTCCTCCCACTGTTTCATCTTCAAACACCGTGTCTCACTGAGATGATACTTTGAGGAGTATATTACCTAATAAAACCTGGCCTCTGCAGATACCCAGACAGTAGAACTGGCACATACATAGCTCTCTTTCAAAAAATCGCTGGTTTATCAAATGCTAAAATTCACCACGATGTGTTTAATATATCAATATATTAAGACAGTTAGATAAATAAAGGTATCTAAAGAGACACACAAACTATTCATCAATTCAATTATTTTGCAATTGAATGTCTCAGTGATTTACAAATCCAACACACGATAAAGCAACGGACAGAGCAAATTTGGTTCCTACTTGAATTTGTTTCTTTCTTCACGTTCTATCCTTTGCAACCTTTCTTCTCTCTCCTGACGTCGTCTTTCTCTTTCTGCTGCCAAGGACTCCTGGTGCTGCCGAAAAGATGATGTAAGGAGACCACCCAAAGCTGGCCTGCAGAGAATGAAGATCAGATTTCTCAGTGTCACTTTTATTGATTATACTGGCAAAAAAGGAGTGGCAATCATTCAGAAAGTAACATAATCCCAACCAATAGAATGACATGGAAATATTTATGTATGGACACTTCAAAGCACTGGCTAAGTATCTTCTTGCTAAATTGATTTTTAGATACTGTGATAAGCTTAAAAATGACAGATAGAGTAGCAGGCTTCTTAAATTGCCAAATTTCTGAAGCACAGCTAAAGTATGCATAACAATTCTTCAGTTTAGTTCAACTCCAATATTTTCTAAATATTTTTTTTTTTACTGTAGAGTCCTGTTAACTGAAAAGCTGAATCCTGTAAACAATTTGTGAAATTAAAAAAAAAAAAAAAAAAAAGTGGACTATTTTTCCAGCACTTTTCAACCACGTTATGTAACGACGTTAAAAGCAGATATTGTCCAAACATCTGAGAATCCTGTATACAGGAAAACAAAAGTAAAAGAAGATGTCAAAACTGCCATTCAGAATTTTAATGCTCTCTTAAGTAGGGGCATATTTTCCTTTATACATTGACAAATTCTGTTATCGTGATTTCCTCACTGCATGTGCTGCAAGAGCAAAACGCATCACATATAGGAACACATCAGCAAAATACACAGGGACAGCACAGCTAGTTATGATAACCATTAAGTGGCATCAAAATTGCTATTAAAAAAATCAGAGGAAATGGGGCTGGAGGAGAAGAGATAATCCATTTTCCTCTCCTTGCCCAGGGCAGGATTTAGTCTTCTCAAAGCATTCTTGAAAAACATTTGTCTGACCTGTCTTAAAAAACCTTAATGATGGATGTACCACACCCATATCTAGTGCTTAACTACCCCTGCCAGTAAGAAAGGCTTCTCTGCAGTCTAGCCTAAATGTCTTTTTTTGCCATTTAGACCCATTCATTCCTGTTCTGTCCACAGTGAACAAAAAGAACAGTTTACTGTCACCTGCTTTATGGCTAGGCAAGAATTAGTCCAAAAGGGGACTTTCTCTGCAGTCCTCTGACCGTAACTACAAACTGGATGCTCTGTGGTACTGTAATGAAGAAGGCTCAATGTCCCCACCAGCAATGAACATCAAATTTCTAGCTGTCGTTCAGGAGGCTATTAAGATGCATGAGATAAGCTGAGTAAATGCCCAAGTGGGACCATTTTGTCAGAAATGGCAGCCTCTAGAGTAAAGACTTCTCAAATATGTAAATGATTTTTTTCTTTGAGATTAAACAGTTTCAAGCAGCAAATACACTTTTAAAAAGCCACATTTATATTTGCATATAGATTGATCTTGACATAGTTTTTTTTGTTTTTATTTACTGCAAGTGCTACTTTGGCTAGGAGAGTGGCTCCTTTCATACATCTTTCCTCCAATATGGTGGTATTGGTACCACTAACCTTCCACATGGCAACAGAGTGACCTCAGAGTAAACATGTCTTTCTTTCTGTCTTTTAGACAGGACAAATCTCTATTGTACGAGGTAGCTTTATACAGATGTAAATGTATCCACACTGATTGAATTAGACTGATAAAATCAAAAAGGCGTAACTCACGTAGAATGGTTTCTGTGCATTGTTGTAACGTGAGTTTTCCAATGAAAGGATTAATGAGAAAAATAGATATTGCTTTTTCTGAAAAGAAACTAAACTCTGTCTAAAGGAAGTTTCCCAAACCTGCAATGCAAACCTGAATAAATTTTCACTATTTTTAAGAACTCAGACCCTTTCTCTTATTTATTTACATGCCTGTGGCTGCACAATGTAGGCATCTAGTTTAATGCCACCAGTTCACCAGTGAAAATAGGTGCAGGAGAAGATAAAAACAGTAATGCAAACTGATCTTCCCTGAGCATCTGTGTCTTTGCAAGCAGGAACACCACAATACATAGCCCTTTCAGCCCCACTGGCAGCCAGGCAGTATGAATATAATTTCAATAATTTCAATAAATTGAATTTCAATATGTCATATCCCACCCGCATAAACATTACATAAGAAGGTATAAAACTTGATATTCTGTAAGCCTCCCTGCTGGCACTCCTCCAGAGCTACAGTATCAATGCTGGATCACACTCAAAACCATAAAAATCTCTAATATGCCTCAGCACTAAGGAAAGGGGAAAAAAATCCCCAAACCCTGACAGTCAAGTACGTGTGGCAAATTTTCCCTTGAACATATTTTAAATTTCTTTTAACTTTTGACCTTTCAGTGCATGTTGCAAGAGAAAGCTCTCAGCAGAAACAGTAGCACCACTGTACTAAGATTCAAAAGCTAGAGCTCCATCCCATGTACATGAAAAACCATGGCAATAAGGTTGGATATATCATCAAAAATTGCTCTCAGGAGGGGAAAACTGGTCAGTGCCTCCACGTGAAGACACCTGGAAATAAACTGGAAGAGACGGCAAAAAGAGGGTCCCTATCAAGTCTGTGCTTGCACCTGTTCTGCGTATTTATCTTGCTATCCCACCCCGTCCGATCCCACCCAGCTGCCCTGAAGTCTGAAAACTCCATTTGGAGTCAAAGGAAGTTATGACTTAATAAAACCTGTAGGAAAAGTAAGGGGAAGGACAGGGTGATGCTGACAGACCAAAAGAGTGATTGTAGGTCTGCACAGCAGGTTGGAAACCTTCAGCCCTGACTAGACTCCTTGGGGCTCCACAGTAAATACACATTCTTATCCAAGGGATTACAGAGGAATCGCATGGAGACGTGCCGCTTAGAACTGCAGATGGGATTCTAACCTGTCCCTGGTAGTAAAATGTCTCCACATGCCCTAACACCTTGTTTGGAGGTTTGTTCTAGCACAGTTTGGCTAGCGTTGCTCACTTGGCTAAAATTTGCAGACGTATGAACAGCAGCCTCACAATCTAAAAAGACCCACAGCCATATAGCCATTAAATAAAAAAGCCCATGTCTAAGAAACTGAAACTGAATATCCATGTGCCATGTTAGTTTGCCACCTCTTGGAAACTAATCAAATCAATAATAACTAGCCAAAACTTGCTATTTCCCACCGGTTATTATAGGAGTCCGTTCTCCAGCTGAGTTACAACCTACAATATAGCACACACAACATACCTGATTCACTTAATTTGTCCCATACAGTCAGTTCTGGACTGCCATATTGCATACAACAGTTTATTGCACAAAATGGTCAAAACTAACAGTCAAAGCTGTGAGAAGGTTCTGTTGAAACAGCTCACAATTAAGCAGAGAAGAATATAGTCAGCTTATTCCTTGCGTGGCACTGACTTCTAAAACCACAAATAGTCATGTTTTGGGTTTTCAGTCACATTTAGAAAAGGACAGGCAAAGAAACAGCACTGATTTTGCTGAGTTAGTGCTCACGTACTGGTTAGACTCAGTCCACTCAACCGGACACATCTCCCCTTGGTGAAGTCCATACCTCGCACCAGACGCTGAGATCATTTGCCTTATGAAACTGCATAAACCCACAGCTTCACTGTTGCTACCGAACACTTTAACTCAACTGGTAGTGGGGTGCATCAATCCTCTTTTTAATGCGAACTGCAACTGTAAATGAGCGGATTTTAGTATTTAGTACACTCTATCCTTAATTTTCTAGATTTGCATAAGCTAAACTTGGAGGAAACAGGTGTTACTTTCAGGGTGTACAAACCTCTAAAACAGCCAGAAGGAAAAGCAAGCAGTAAGAGGTATTCCTCAAATACTCTAAACAAACTGAAAGGGAATTTGTCTATGCTTGATTCGCCTGCAAAATCTGTTTTGTTTTTTTTTGGTCTCTATTCCCCCCGGCAATAACGCTAAAGTAAAGGTTCCCTTTTGATGAACTCATATTTGAATTGTAAATGGCAGTGGGACTGGCCAAACAAGCCCGTGGTAATGTTTGGGCTGAGCCTTCAGGCAATTTTGGCACTTTGGTGCTGTTTAAAGGGGGGCAGTAACTTCAGGCTCAGGAATATTTAAGTCTTACTGCCATAGGCTGCATTTTAAAAATGGGTAAGCAAGGAAAAGGCTAAAAAAAATTCTGGCATTGAATAAGAGGTGGTAAGAGATTTTAACAGAAAAGAGTATGTGAATACTCAATGAAAGCATAATAGAGTGATCACTCAAAACAGCATTATAGCTAATATATGCCAGCATTTTAATACTGGTGTCATATGTTACCAGCTGGTAATATCAACCATTTGTTCAATTCCACAAATACAATCCAGAAGGATGCTTACTTTGACTACTATTTTTAGCCTTGTAGAGAATAGAAGGCTATTAAAAATGGACTGTTAATACAAAAATATTAAGAAAATCTTTCTTCTGCCTGCTGTTAAAACCAGCAAAAGCTAAACAAGCTATGTTATTACGCTCTCATTTCAGAAAGAACACACACAGCAAGAATATGTAAAATCTGGGAACTGTGAATATAGCTCCATACCATAGCATTAGGACCTGGGGCCAAAGAGGTCATTAGTTACTTATCTTGTCGGAAGAAGACAGGAAAGAGCAAAGAATAGGAAAATAAAAGAAGGAAAAAAGGCAATGAAAATATACACAGGGCAGAGGATACAAAGCCAAAACACTGATTGCAGGCCAAAACTCTTCTGAATAAAAATTCAACTAACCTGACCTACTGCATTTACTGACCTACAGCAGTCGAATTAGTAATCATTATTAAAAGCACAAGCTCAGGCAGAAACAAGGTATGCCACACGTTTTTGCAAGTACTTGCAGTTTTCTCACAATACTGCACCACAGGTTATATATCGTGAAGTGAAATATGTAACCTGAATTACTCTGATCTTGTTGAAAATTGAAGAAAATATTTCTGTCTTACTCTAAGCCACTTAGTTACAGCAAAATTGCAATTATCAAATTCAAATGTTCTTCACTCACATTAATTCTGAAATACTCTTCTTTTGTGGCTGCATTTTCCTCTGTTAGTTGAATTTTTAAAATTTGCTAAAAGGAAATGGGTATCAAATGGGTAGCAAGA